TAGGTGGCTGATTTTCTTTATTGGGTAGTGATTGCATTTATTCTGCACACAGGGCCTAAAAGTAGGTAGTTCAATGGCACATAGACTTAGTTTGGGATGAGCTTCACCCATAGTAAATAGAACAGAAAAGGAAACGCAAGCAGGATTTTAGGGTAGCACAACCAAAACTTGGTGTCCATCTTGTTTAAGCTGCAGAATCAAATTATTTGTTTTGTTGGCTTGCTTGTTTTTTAGCTTGTCGAGCTGCTTATTTCATTGCTGAAATTTGTTGGGTTAACTTCCCACACACACAAACGCCATCTTTTGTGATTTGCCAGAGAAGTGGATATGATAGAAAGTGCCCTGAGGCACGAGACAGGGAGCCCTGCTTGCCTTCTTTCCACATTCACCAGCAGGAATGGTTGCTTAACTTTAAACCTCAGGAGACGAGCAGTGCTGCAGTCATCCTGAACGTCACCTTTCCTTGGTAGAGATTGCTTTCAGTTTTTTTTTGTAAATCATTCTGAACTAAAATGCATGTTTATATGTGTATGTCTGTGCACCCCATGCATTGCCCTGTTGGGATCAGCCATAAGCAGAACCAGAGCTTTAAGAAAATTCCTATTTTCTGGAAATGTTGGAGAAAATTCTGTTCAAAAGGCTTCTGGTTGTGAGATTTCAATATTGCTGCCTTCTCTTTGTCTCTATGTGCCTTTCCTGGAAATAGTCACATGCGAACACACGTCTCAATTTCTGCTGAAGGATTTTTTGTGAACTGCCTTTGCTGCTATGCCACGCAAGGGAAAGAAAATTGTATGTTATTGTTTGGGGATTATTTGGCTCTAAATATTAGTCTGAGCATCCAGGTCCAGAAATACCGTGTCTGAATGAGCCAGGTGTGTTAAAAATGTATTTATAGGCTAGATACATTTTCATCATTTCATAGTACAACACACGTTTGCTGGAAAGGTAGTTCCTGTAGTAACTGGCTACAAATAAACACAGGTATTTGTCCAAGACAGCAGGAGTATTATTTGCATGCTCATTTTTCTCCTCTCCTGCGTGTGCCACTGGAGTTGTGTTCTTGTACTGGTAGGGTTGTGAATCAGCAGTCCTGCCTTTTGCCATCTTTTGAGGATTTTAAGAGGCTATTAGACAAATTGATAGAGTTAATTAAATACATGCCCTTCTTGTTACAGAAGCCCTGGAGACATTTTAAATAATCTTCTCCAACGTTGCATCTTTAGCCTGCAAAGCTTAGTAAATTGCTGGAACAGAACAAAGTTGGCCAGCTATTTTCTTCAGGATCTGACAAAAATCCTAGAGAACAAAATGTTCCAGTAATCATCTTTTCTTTTCAAGTGTCTGTTAGTGTTTTTTAATCTTTCTCTCCTTTCCCTTTGTCAGAAAACAGCATACCCTAGTTAAAAAAAATAAATAAATAAAGACACACAAGCAAAAAAAAAGAAAACCCACAGCAGCATTGTTCCTGCCTTTATCTTTCATTTCATTTTGGTGCTGAATCACAGTGTTCTGATACAGCCTCTTTTATGGCGTAATTGTTTTGTATAATCCATTTTCTTTGGGCACCTCTTAGCTTCTCTCTGAAGCTGTTACTGCTGTAATGAATGTAGTCATAAATCTGTCACAGGTAACAAGCTAAATTTAGAGCTCAATAAACCAGGAGGGGGATGCTGCAGCTAAGCGAGCGCATTGAGATGCTCCTCTTACAGCAGTGGCAGAAAAGGTCCACTTCTGACAGATGAACAAGAGGAGGACACAGATTTTTGGGTTCTCTCATCAATTCACCACCATTATTACCCTGTTCCAGCTGCTGCAGAGATGCTGCACAAAAATACAGGCAGGAGTGGGAAACAGAAGTAAGTGGTGGAGATCCAGGGATGGGGAGGATCCTCACTGTGTGTAAAACAGTCGGAAAGGTTCAGAGGCACTGTTTGGTTTTTCCAAATGTCATTTACATTAGCATCTTATAATTGAATCAGTAGCACTTCACTGAAAAGGTTAAATTCTGCCTTTTAAAAATTAAATCTGCTGTTTAGCTGTCAAGCACAGTCATGCCCTCCTGTTGCCTCTGGAAGAATGAAACATCGCCGTATTGACATATAAATCGTACTGCTGGAGAATGCATTAACTCTCTTATTTACGGCTGTGTTGTGCTGCATCTTGTAATTGAGGGCTCTCTGCAGAATTCATTGCATGTAAAATCCATGGAAATTATTAGCACGGCACATTTCTGTAATTAAAATATTTCCTACAGTATAGATTTGAAGACTCCCGATCTGCCATGCATTACACAAGTGCAAAATGCTACAAAAATATAAATACAAAGTTTTTGTGCATAGAGAATATTTTTAATTAGATGACTTGAAATAGTTGGAGAAAGCAATCAAATTAGCTGGTTTCAGGGCTGTTTTTAGGTGAGTGATGAAACTTTATTTCCTGCTGATCACAAAGAAATCAGAGCACTAGACTCACAGAGTGAGCTTTACCTTGTCGTCAGTGACATAGCCAAATAATTAAAATTAACACTATATTGAAGCATTCAACTGTTGTTTTCAGGGGATAACTCTTTCTAATATGTTATGCCATTAAGAGTTACCCTCAAATGTTTTGATGTTTTACAGCAATCCAATAAACATTATCTTTAGTCAAAATATTGCAGTTTTAGATAGCTCCCGAAGTCAAACAGTTCGGCAAAACAAAGAGTTAAAAAAATTCCTTCTCCCGTTCCCTCTTTAGTAAAAATTGTGCCAGAATATTGCAGAAAGGATGAAACAGCACTTTAACTTTTAGATGTGTATCTGAGAAGTCCATTGTCTTGTTAAGGCTGTCAGACTCCATTGCTCTTTCTGTAACCCTAGAAACAACTTTAATACAGTGATGTTTGAAAAGTCTAAAACGTTAACTTGCCTTTAAAGTGCTTTTCTCATTGTTTGAGATGCTTCGTGCAAGGGAAGAACAAATCTTTTCTCGCTATAGAGGGCATTAAGCAATGATGGATGTGCATTTCTTGGTGGGACACTGACCATCACTGGTTGGAGGCAGGGTGGAAGAAGCTGCTGGCAGCATCCACAGGTGTCCTCTCTCCTCACCTGCCTGCAGAGTTCAGGAGTTCTCTCCGTGTATTGCAGGAGAGGATTTTCAGGAGGCAATAAATAAATTTTGATCCCTCTGGTTAATACAGTTAAGGTCAAAGAGATTCTATCTGGAGCTGTTTAAAATACTCTTAACATGCAGACATACTTCTGTCAATAGTGCTAAGTGCCTTATCTTGCCGAGGAGTGTATACAACCCTTATGAAACTATTCTTAAGTATTCTGCTTACTATATTTAGCCCTGGCTCATAACAAGACAAAAAGCACTTAGCTAAATGTAGTCCTGAAGTGCTTAATCCGGTTAAGAATATTCTGTCCTTAGGTGTCTTCTGCTAAGACTTTTTATAGCTCACCATCCTGCTGCATCATGCAAAAAGCTTCTCCGTGGGATCGGGCCTGTGACTTCTTTTATGGCCTTTTATTCTGTCTGAGCCTCCAAGTCTGGTGCTGACCGTGGGCATCGCTCGCGTTCACCGGGGTGTCCCCAGGACAGGCCCAGGAAGCCTCGTCACCCCAGCAGCTCACATCAGCCGTGCTGTGGAAGGATGCCACGGCTACTGCTGGAGACAGGGGAATTGGGACTGCCTTTCCTAATTCAGGCTTGGTGAGCATTGACTGGACGTTGTTAATGTCCAGTAAAAAGCCTGCGGTGGTTAGACAGGCAATGGGAAGGTTTCTGTGCAAAGCTTTGCGCTCAAAACTCAGGAAGAATCCTTTAGTTTGGCTGAATTTTTGCGTACTTTGGCCTGTATGTGAAAAATGCTTTCTGAAAAGTTTTAATAGATTTGTTTGTGTGGTTCCAAGTAATTTTTTTTTGATCTAACCCACTGCTTTAAAAAGAATATTCTCGATATCTCTGTATCTCAGAAATCGTTAAGGGTTAGCAAAACTTGAGTGTGGGCCATCCTTCTGGAGGAGAAACGACGACGTAATTTTGAAAAAAGCAACGCTGACGATGAGAAGCAGTGACTAAGATAAGAATTTCAGTTCCAATGTAGGTCACTAGGATAGCAAACAAGATCACACGCTCCTTTTGAACTCGGATAAAAGCTTGTAATTTGACCAGCGTACAACTGCTGTGAGAGCAGCAGCCTAGCAGGTCCCCTGTACCTAAACCTGGCACGTAGGTGGTGTTTGCAGCGGGGACACCAGTCCTTGCGTAAGGTTTTCCCTGGAAGTTCGTGTTCTGAGCTGAAATTGCCGACTTAATCCCAGCCGCGCTTTTTACTGAAGTGCTTAGGGCTGAAACACATGAAGCGTATTATATAGCTGCATGTTTGTGTGTTACTCTGGTACTTCCGTTGTGCCAGGAGCTTCAGTCCTCTTCCAGGTAACTGCAGTGTTTATAACCAGTTTATAACCAGTTTATAACTGCAGTTTATAACCAGGGCATTACAGTTTATCTCAGCCAAGTTTTTCAAGCAGGCGGACTGACATAATCTCACGTGGGTGCAGTGAGCAAGCATTCGGCCTGTTGTCCCATTTTGCCTCCCCTACAGAGCACTCTCCCCATACCACAGGACGGGCTCTGTGTTGGCCACAAACACCAGATAGATCAGCGCTGGTGAATGGCAGATGAACTCACAGGTTCTCATTGCACACATGCCAGCTGTACCATCGGGTGTTGGAAGGACTCCTATCGATCCTCAGCGGCCCCACACTAGTCGGGCTGTTCTTCCACACTACCGGGTCTTGTGTTTTTTTGGGCCTTCTTCTGTGGCAGCAGGTGGTGCACACAGAGCCAGGAGTCCCAGACATGTCCCAGTGTCCCTGGGTGCTCCCCAGTTACACCGACCACCTTTCTCACTGGTGGCCGCAGACCTCTTCGGCTTGAAGCGATTGCTGCTCTTGAGGCTAAGTCTCGTTTGCAACTGTGTTTTAATTGTGTTTTGCTTTTCCTTCTAGGATTAATTTTTCTCCGTCTCTATTTACATGGTGATAAGAAGTGCTGATCCCACTCCGTCAGTCTGGACTGATGAATCTGAGCAATAGAACAGGTAATGGCTCACTGGGCTTCCAGGGACTCACGCAGGGAGAACCACCCCCTCCCAATGGCGTACATCCACATTTTGGGGCTGGAGAAACCACACAGAAATCATACAAATCATACTCTGCCCAAGTCCCCTGCAGGGAGGGGAATCCTCGCTCCAGAGCAGGGGAGGGAGGAGGAATTTTTGTTGCTTTTTCTGTGATCAGTATCTTTGACATCCTCTCAGTTGTGGGTGGTTTAATTTCATTTGGAATTACTGACCTGAGAGCAAAGCACCAGTGAAGAGGTCACCCTGATCATGATGGATTTTATATCATTGCACGGGGCTTGAGAGTACCGTGTCCTTACTGGGAATTGCAGCCAACTGTTCTCCTCACCTGTGCTGCAGGAGCAGTTAGAGTACGATAAAGACAGCAGCCCACAGTGACTGCTGACAGACAGACCCCAGGGAAGCCAGGTCACCTTCCCTTCCTTTCCCTGGTTAATGCCAGCGGAGGAAGAGTTTCGACTTGCAGCCTTGGGTATGAATCCCCGTGGTGGGATGCAGCTGGGATGATGTGGTGGGAGTCCACTGGTGCAAGCATCGGTCGTTGGCCACAGGGCATTTCAGGTGAGCCTGTCTCATATCATCCCTCGAATCTCCTGACCGTACCCTGCTGTTGCCTAATACTAATCCTCTGGGGGATCAGCATACCTTCCTCCTGTGCCCTTGCGCTGGGACAGAAATCTCAGTTGCTCTTTAAGCATTGCAATGGATTCCAGCAGCCTAGCAGGACCAGGCACTGTGCTACCTGGCACAGACATCGAACTGAGATCAGCTCTCACGTTTACATGGGAGATGCTGGTTCCTGTGCAGAAATCAGTGCTTTGGTAGGGTTCCCCATCCCTGGTGTTCCCCTGGCTGCATCAGGTGCTGGCTGCGCTTGATTGTGGCTGGGGCTGTTTTCACAGAGGGGACTGCAGAGGCAGGCTGGGGGCTGCTGGCTCTTTCCCAGTACAGTTACAGTTATTGCAGATGAATGTTTGGGCATATGGCAAAGGTTTCAGCTCTCAAGCCTCAGTAGGTGACAGAGCAGGCAAGAAACTATGTAATCGAGCGGAGGCTGGGGAGGGGGTGATAGAAACATCCAGGAGGTCATAACGTACAAACCAGTAAGCTCCATGTTCTGACAGCCTCAACGAGATCAGGCAATGTGACTCAGTAAGTACTTCTGTCCTTTCCTTCCAGAGCCCTGTGTCGTGTAAACGAACTGATGGATGAAGATGAGAAGGACAGGGCAAAGAGGTATGAAGGGATGCACGGAGCGCTGAGCTTGCAAGCTCTTCCAGGGGAGAACTGCAAATGCTGTGTTGTCTGATGCGGGTAAAAGTAGTCAGGGCACTGATGTCAGAGGCAAAATCCTGCAGTTTTCAGGCTGTGGATAGCAGACCACATAAAATGGAATTTTGTCACCATTTTCAAGCTTCTCACGGTGTATTTGACCGCCCCTACGATGGGTTAATCAGCTCGGTGCTCCTTAGATTACATTCCTTTACCCTCTTGTTATCCCATGGCTATTTACCATGCTGATGCAGTACCCCAATCTGTGATTTTATTGACCTCATGCAGTGCTGCCCACCTGGGTTCCCCATGAGACTTAGAGGGCAGTCCTGCCTTAGCACAGGTAGGAAGGAGCTGGTCTTCCTTCAGAGGAGCTTGGTTCAGCTGTAATTACTCATCGTACATTAGTGCCAAAACAGAGAGGGCTGGGAAAGCAAATGCTGGATGTGAGAACCTCCAAATGCCAACCTGAAAGTGAATGGAAATGCTTCCTGCATACCGAACTCGGGCTGGATCACAGGGCTGATGTATCATCATGAATGCACTTGTAAAGAAAAATAATTACTACTGGAAGAGGTTGTATGAAAATAGGGTTATCTCAGATAGGAGCATTGGAAAGAACATTTTGGAAGAAATTGAATGGATTTGCTTTCTCCTTTATTGTTTTTAATGGAGGGGAAAACCCTAATAAAACATTCTTTAATTGTATTAATGCAAGCTGGAAACGAGTCTGTGGTTTCCGCAGCCAGACTCTTAACGTGCCCAGTTTCATATATCACACTGCTGCCACTCCAGATTTCCAAACCCAGATGTGAGAGCGTGTGCTTGACTTTGTTCTGCAATCAAATTATCTCTGCACAATGTTCTCTGGGAATGAGCTACTTCTGCAGGTACAAATTCAAGAACGAGGCATCCCTCTCATTTTGACCTCTACATGCATGCATAGTAGCTGCAAAACAGAAGTGGGCAAAAAGTCAGTGTGTGATGCCAGGACTATTGTACTGGAGAAATTTCACCTATAGCAGCTTTGTGAAGCCATCACTGGTTTTGAAACAATGAGAACTGCTGCTGAAATGTGCATAAGGATGCAGTCTTGCTCAAATGCATATAAATCCTATTTGTTACCTGCAAACATTCCTTTCTGACAGTGAGTTCAGTCCTGCTGCAAGGCTCAAGGCACCAACACTTACTCCCAAGCATAATTTTAAAGAAATGAGCAGTCCCAGCAGGGTTCAGAGTCTTGTACTTAAAGTGTTTTGCTGGGACAGGGCCACTTGATCCTCCTTGGGTCGAGCTGCAGACCCTTCCTTTTACTTCATGTTTCTGTCATCCAGGGCATCACGCAACAAATCTGAAAAGAAGAGGAGAGACCAGTTCAATGTCCTCATTAAAGAGCTTTGCACAATGCTGCAGGGCCACGGCCACCCTCTCAAGATGGACAAGTCCACCATACTGCAGAGGACCATCGACTTCTTACAGAAACAGAAAGGTAGTGAGGGCGCTGCCCCCTTCCCCTTGGACCTTTTCCCCTTGGAGGCACTGGCTCTGCAGCTGACCAGCAGCCAGTTGCTGCTCAGAAGATGAAAACTATTTTTCCCAAGCATCTAAAAACCCCGTATAGGACATGAATTTAGGTGAGGGTCAGATTAAGGCACAGCAGTTGGTGTCAACAGATGGGGCTAGGCTTGAATGCAGTGACATTGCTGCATTTCCCTCACCGACCTCCCCATCCCCTGGCATGCTTTATGTGCTCTCAAGCAGAGCAAGAAGGAGGAGCTGAGGAACAGCACACACCACAAAAGAGGATTTCTGCCCCCTTTTCCCAGGTCTGGATGGGTGCAGCCCCTCCTGCTGCCTGTGGGCTCCTGCCAGCCTGCAGTGGCTGCAGAGTCAACCCCAGTCTGCTGTCAGTGGTGCTCTGAGGCTAGCCCAGAGCACTGGAAAGAACATTTTTTGAAGAAATTGTTTTCTTCAGTTTTGAAGGTTCCCTTCAAACTACCCAAAATGTCTCCTCTTTTTTTTTTTTTTTTCCTCTCCTGATTTCTAATGCATTTCTATCGTGATGGCGTGGAAATTGAGTGTTGCATATAATAAGGCTTTGTATGGAGAATGATCTGAGGATGATTCCTCTGAAAGCTTCTTAAAAGAAATCGTGTTACTTGAAAATGAAAAAAAAGTCCCAATGAATGTGAGTCATGTTGCTTTTTTGATGTTTTCTCTGTAAGAAATCACAGCACAGACAGAAGCCTGTGAGATTAGACAAGACTGGAAGCCTTCATTTCTTAGCAACGAGGAGTTCACCCAGTTGATGTTAGAGGTAAGAAGAAATTAAAGCTGCATAGATTAGTGAAAAGTAATCGGTTCAGTGGAGTAGTTCAGACATACAGTTCCTTTCACCTGTGGGTCCCAGTGTTAATGATTTCTGCTTTGCTGGCACTTATAATCCAAACCTGACAGAGACCAGTGTTGTGCTAAATGCTTTGCAGACACAGAATTAGGAATATGACTGCTTCCCCTTAAAGGTAAACAGCTTTTCATTTAGGCATGAAGCCCGATTTGGCCCAGCTTTGGCCAGGTGAGAGAGGAGAAACAGAACTGCCCTTCTCAGACCAGCTACAGGAGCAAAAACTGGGAAGGATCTGAGCAAAGCAGAGCAGCTCCCATCCTCCCACATCCCATTAGCAAGGCAGCCCTTGCATTGCTGCCACTAGCTGCGCAGGGCTGTACCTGTGCTGCGACTGCCACGTCTTTTACTTTGGTTGCTTTTACGTGTGCTCAGATGAGCCCTGATCCTGTCACCTATAAAATGATGAGCTGATGTAGAAACACCCCACGAGCCTACATTTTTCTTTTCTTAAAGATGCCACTTGGGTTCTGTACTGCCTGCTCCTCCAGCAAGGACATCTACCCTGCGTAGGCAGCTGCTGCTCTTTGCCCCACCAAAACTAGGGTGTATGCCGGGCTGAGCTGGGAGGTGCTGCAGTGTCTTAGTTACTCCTTTTCATCAGGATGTCATGACTCACCTCCCTGGAAAAGTCTGTTCATTCTTTCTGGGAATTTTTCTTACCAAACAAGCTAGTTTGTTCCAGCTGAATCAAAACAAATTTCTCCCTTACAAGTGGCCGGGGGGAGCCCTTCAATAACTGTTCGTTTGCTGGACTATGTTTGACCATTGAGCAGTTTACTTAAAATCAGTGTTTTTACCCAGAGAGTGCTTATTTTTAGCAAAGGCAGGGACTCAGACAATGAGACAGGGAGTAGCTGGCTGCGGGGAAAGATGCTGGATGCTCCCTCTGTGCAGCATCTTTGGCTTCCTGCAAGCCGAGCTGCAGAGCAGCCTAATGATGTCATTAGAAGAACTGGCTTTGTACACAGTGCTGGCCAGGCATCAGACCTCCTAGACCTTCCAAGTGTTACGGAAGAATAGGAACAGAGACTGGATCAATGGTACAAGAAGATGTTGTGAAGAACAGGGAGAGAGCTCTCAAAGAAGAAAGCACATGCAGTGATTTAGAAGGCACTGAGAACATAGACTCCGCGCCAGGAACCATAGTGAAAAGGAAAGGGAAAACAAACTTTGAAAAAAAAAAGGGAAAACAAACTTTCAAATTGTCGTGTCAGTTGCCTAGCAAATGAGTGCTTTAAGCAAGATAAATAAGGCTTTAGATCTTGTCCTTAGGAGCCATAAAATTATTTTTTTTAAATGTATTATTTTTTTCATCTGTCTCTGTTTATCCATCCATCCATCCATTCATCCATTCATCCATAGTGCTGGGTTTGCCGTGATGATATCTAACATTTCCTTACACACTGAACTGGTTAACTATTGTGCAATTCAGAACACATAATGAAGTGACTGAAGTCACTAGGATTGTGTGGGTGTAGAAAACTTAACCACCACCGTCTTGCTTCACATTAAATAAGTACTCACTGGGTGCAAAATACAAGTCAATTTAATATTAATGAGCAAATAAGTGTAAGAAGAATGCTGAATTAGACACCATGTGTCATTTTTTATTTTTCTACATTGAACCGTCATTGCCATAATTGATTCATGTTGATTTTAGACTGTTACAGTCATCACCACTGAGTAAACTAGCCTATTGTATTGTAGTTTAAGTTGTTCCCATGCATAATTCTTTTCTTTTTCCTTCCGTCTGCCTTTTGTCACTAGGCATTAGATGGCTTTCTCATCGCTCTTACCACTGATGGGATTATTATTTATGTATCCGACAGCGTCTCCTCTCTGCTCGGACACTTACCGGTAAGTTCTGACACCACAATGCCTTGCAGAATCGCTCCCCTGCCTTAGCACAGCCCCAGCACTGCAGAGACAGGGCTTGGGTTTGTCCAGCCAAATGTTTATGAAACCTGTATATGTTGAAGCTCTTCCCAGAAGATTTAAAGGTGATTTCAGGACTAAATATATGCTCTTCTAATGACATCGGGTTTTTCTACTTTGAGCCCATGGTCTTTAGTAGCAAAAATGTTAGTTTTCCATGAGAATTTCTAGACATCAGTTAATTTTTAGTATAAAAGCTTCTGCTGGTCCCTCAAAACCAATTTTATCTGGTGCAAAGTGAGAGCTATGCTATGTGAGGGCAAATTGGATCCTGAATGTCCTAACCTGGCTGAATGGCCCAGTGTGCAAAGAAACAAAGCTCCACCTGCAGATCAACTCAGCTTCCTTGTGTTAAGAGGCTGTGCTAGCCTGGCAGCATCTGTGCTCCACTGTAGGATGAAAACGCGTGTGGTTGTGTCAGGCTGTGCTGTGGAACATGACAAAGCATTCTTTTGCATCAGTCAGATTTGGTGGACCAAAATATATTAAACTTTCTGCCTGAGCGGGAACAGAGCGAGGTGTACAAGCTCCTTTCTCCACACGTGCTCATGACAGATCCTGTTGCAGCTGATTTTCTCAATGGTAAGCTCTTTGCTTGTCTGTTGATCAAGGAAATTTGCCAAAGGCAAGCAGCTCCCAGGGGCAGCCTGCACTGGGCCCTCCAGCTATTTAATTCTCCTGCCTGCTGCTGCTTTTGGCCTCTGTTCATATTTCTGGGTTTGGATGCAGCCCATCCAATGTTCCTACTTGCTCCCAGTACTTGATTTGGACAGTCTGTATTTTACTGTTTGCTTTGGGTCACAGGACAGGGTGGAGTCACCCTCCTTAGGTACTTTTCTCAGGGTGGGACTGAGCCTGTGAAAGGAGTGAGGGGCTTGGGGGATGAGCTTGGGTAGGAGAAATCCCAAAGGGCTTTGGGAAATCCCAAAATGTTCCTTCCTCTGCTGTTCTCCCCAGACTGTGTGCCCACACCAGAACTGGTGGTCGTGTCTTCCTTACATCCACGTGCTGGGACCCCCTTCTCCTAGCAGCCCCCCTGTTCCTTGGTGGGTTCACCATGGCCACCAGAGCTCATCTCCCTCCCTGCGGCCCCATAAGCGTGCGCAGGAGCTGAGCACCCCTTGTGCTGGTTTCCGTGAAGCCAAAGAGCCCGTGGTCTGACCCATGGAGTTCAGACCTTGGGGCAGAAAGCCGAGCAAGAGCTTGGCATGGTGCCTTCCACAGCTAGCAGGAAGACTTAGGGTGACTCCAGCGCCCTTTGCTCTGCGTCCTGCAGAGCGGTGCCAGGGCAGCGTGTTTCACGTGAAATCCTGCACGCGATGAAGGCAGGGGCAAACACCACCGACTTTGAGCTCGCCAGTGTAACAGGGCAACTATAAAGCTGTGGGAGAAGGGGTGATCACAGACATCCTAAAGCAAAACCAGCTGATCAGTGCTCCTGCTAGTTATAGGTTTATTTATGGGGATCGGGAGCAGAGGGTGCTGAGATGCCACAGCAGCAGGGTGCGTAGAAAACCTGGACAGATTGAATATATTGAATCTATGTGCTACCGTGCAGGCTGCCAATAACGTGTGTGTCTCCCTCTCTTTCTCTCTTTTCAGTGGAAAAGCAAATAGAGTTTTGCTGCCATTTAGCAAGAGGCAGCTTAGATCCAAATGAACCCCTGACGTATGAATATGTGAAATTTGTAGTGGATTTTAAATATTTTACTCATGGTGAGTTACCTCTACAGCCTGCCGTTACCTCTCAGCCTCTCTCCTTTAAAGCGTCTGTTTTTCTGTAGCCTTGTTTCAGCTGAAAATGCTGTAATCAGCAGGGGTGGAGTGTGCTGCGGATATGTTAGCAAGATTTTTTTTCACATAAAAGCTTTGGGGAGTCTGTTGGTCAGAGGAGTGACACCAGACTGATTGTCCCTCCATTTGACTGCCTCCATGACTCGATTGTGAAGCAGCCTACATACTCAATTAACCAACAAAATATGCTATTCTGTTTCACTTGTGGCAATTGAGTGACACTTTCTAAAGATGAAATGATTTGAGAAACTTGTAAAATCCTGGATCTTGCAAGTGTTGGGCTGCAGAAAGGTGCTGTTTCCTGGAAATAACATAAAAAGGGAGAAACTTCTGGATTTGATGTGAACAATTTCCTTGGGAAAATACTCCAGCCTTTTGTTCACCACATCTTCTGACATCCAGTTGTGACTTCCTTTGTGTTGAGAAAAAAGATTCAGGGCAGAATAATGGTACCAAGAGTTCTTTCTGTAATCTTCTTGATCTTCGATTTGTGATTTTAAAGGGACGCTTGTAAAACATACATTTGGAAAAAAAAAAATAGTGCAAATCCCTCTACCTCTCAAAGTCAGCTGAAGTTCAGTGACTTTGCATCAGTTTTCCATCCTCCCTAAGGACATGCTAGCAAGGAGGCTGTAGCTGCGTGCTGGGAGCGATCAGAGCTGTCTTATGAGGCTTCCCTGCAAGCCAGGGGTGGGTGGCTGCAGCTCTGTAACTCAGAGCCTAAAGGATCGTGCTTTAAATAACATCAGTGTCTATCAGTGTGGCATCACGGTGTGGGTCAGAGGAATTTGTTGCTGGGGTTTCATCAGTCGTCCTGCCTGTCCTAACATGAAAAGAAAGGTCTCCTTCCTCTTCATCTTAAATAAATTGTCTGGTTGTGTCTAGTGCCTACACCCTCCTGTAATGGCTTTGAGTCAGCTATTGCACGAGCTTTCAGGTCAGCCACAGAGGAGCAGATTTGCCTCGTAGCGACTGTTCGTCTCGTCACACCGCAGTTCTTAAAGGTGAGAGCTCTCCCACTGCCTTTTCCCTTTTGTACCAGAGCCAGCCCATGCTCAGCTGGAGCTGCTGCTGTACCACGAGTTGTGCTTGGTGCCCTTGCACGAGCAGCCATGCTGCAGCAGCCTCTCACAGGACATGCAGCAGTGCAAACTGCCTTGTGCTGAGGATTTGTAAGTGAGGGAGGGCACTGCTGTGCTTGGGAGGGGGAGATGATGCTTATTTTCGAAGGAGAAAATGAAAAATGGGAGTTGTGCTTGAGAAGAGGGGGTTGTGTGATGGGATGTTTCAGAGCGGTGAGCTCAGGGGGTGCCAATAAAAGGTGCCCAGCTAACTGCTTGGAAAGTTGGAGGCACTGAAGAGCTACACCCCACTGCTCCTTGGTGTAGGAAGGCCAGCCACACTTGGAGACCCCGAGCACCGCAGTTCATGGACTCTTTCTCCCAGTCTTTAAGTGTGGCACGGTGCCGCGATGGCAGGGATAAGGGCAGCGGGTGCTTCTTGCTGGAGAGCAGCAGCCAGCCCAGCTTGAGGCTGGAACCTGCTCTGTCATCCATCTTCGGTTAGCAGTATTTACAGAAAGTTGGGGAATGTTGCCTGCAGACTGCAAGATGAGGCCCTTGGACTATTTATCCTAGCTCTGAAACTCAGCCCAGGGTAAATTATTCAGCCACTTTTCATCAGTTTATGCATCTATAAAACAAGGTTTATGCATTCCTTAGAGGAAAAAAAAAAGTCGAGTGCTTTAAAAGCTCTGTGTTTTGCTAGGGTTTATTATACCAAGATGATGCATTCTTAGTCTTGAGGGAGAGCTCCTTTTGTTATTTCGCAGAATTAGATGTCTGAATGTGCCAACTGTTTTGCAGGAGCTTTGCAATGTTGAAGAGCCATGCGAAGAATTTACATCAAGGCATAGCTTGGAATGGAAGTTTTTGTTCTTGGACCACAGGTAAGAGATTTGGGCACTGAAGTATAAACAATTTGTAGTTTAAAAATAGAAATGTTTATGTTGCTATTGCCTGACATCCCAAGCAAAATAGCTCTAATTAAGTTAAACGACACCAATGATAATATTCTGAACTTACTTATCAGGCCTCCTTAAAAGCTTTGCCCTCTTTCTTACTTAAGGCAGGTAAGAAGCCGTATAAAGTGAAGGTTAAATGTCTACAAAAATGTCAAATTTCACCAAGACATTAAGTCACTGAAGCTGAGCACTGTGGGTCTTGTTACCTGTATTGATTTAGCTTCTCTATTCACCATCTACAGCTTCCAGGAACCCAAAAATATTTTGCTGTATTGATCAAATTTTGATTTTCACCTTGATAAATGAAGGAATTTATAAAACTAAAAGAAAACGCAATGCATTGGATGGTTTAATTGCAGATTTGTTTTTGACTGAGTGCAGCATGGAGAGCTTGGGGAATGAAAAAGGAATCACTTTATTAAGCTGATTAACAGAGGATTCATTTTCTTCAGAAGAAGCTGGAGGGTTTTGTTCTCTCTTTTGCTTCTCTGCATTCGGCATGTATACATAAACACATTGTGAAATCCAGCTCTTCCCATTATCCCTTCCAAGTTCTGCAAAGGCAGAAATACACCACTAGTGAGAAAGGCTGTAGGAAATAAGTTTTTTTTTTTGCAGGGGGGCTAAACGTCTTCTGCACATTTAAATCAAGGAGGGGAGAGAGAGAATGTAACTGATGAATAATTTGCATTTCTGTAGTAAGGAAGATGCTCCGTGCGTCATACCTTGAAGCACGGGGGAACTGGCCACGCGGCAGCCCTATGGTTAAAAGGCTGTGTGGTTTGGGATGGTGGGCTTGTTATTATTCCTATCGTTGAGATCTTGCTGCAGTGACTTCATTAGACTTTAATTGGCCTGCCCAATGAGGCACGTCTTCAGAATCAGGTGATTTAACGAGGATTCCTAAAAGAGCCCTAGGCCCCTTATGTCACCGTCTGCAGCAGTGAGCTGGCTTTCCAAAGGGCTGCGTCCCAGCAGCTGCTGCGAATAAGGCACGCAGGAGCTCCTTTAAAGCAAATCAAAGAGTCTTTTGATGAATCTGGGTTATGACTCAGAGAGGAAGCTCTGTGCCGGGCGCTCGCAGCCACTCCAGCCCCACTGATATCCCCAGTGAGGAAGCCATTGTTACCGGGAGTGGATTAAGCTAATGCAGATGCTGAGACAGTTCGTGGCAGCACAAACTAAGCGGTGAGCACAGACCCAACAGCCAGAGGGGAATCATGTGGGTTGTCTCATCTAATCACTGGTTCAAACCTATCTCCAGTCCATTCCCCAGGATCTCCAGGACACTGTGAAATGTTTTGGGATAGTTTCTTGTTTCTTGCTTGGTTACTTCAGCTCGCACAGCTTGACGCTGAGAGCTGCGCCATCAGTGGGGGCAGCAGGTACCCACCATTGCTTGGAACCTGTCATATCATAGCAATGGTATGTATGGAGTTGTGATAAATAGTACAACAAACACTCCACAGACCTGGATAAACCTTAAAAAAATAAAGAAAATCTGTATTCTTGGTCTACATATACATATGTGTAGAGGAAGAAATCCTGTGAACTTTGATAACAATCCATGTCTGTTCTGCGTTCTCCTTATTTTCCCTTCTTTTATTAGAAGACTGGAGGGTCTAGTCCAACTTGTGTTATAGCTGAAAGCCCACCACCTGTCAGGCTTTTTGCCCACTTACCAATCCTGTACTCAAAGGCTCTCTGAAGATGTTGCATTTCCATTTGAAGAGCCAGCTGCAGGCCTCAAGGCTGGAAGTTAGGCTAACAAAACACTTCTAAATTGCGCCACAAGCAAGCCAGCTCCTTGTCAAATGACAGATTAGGAGCATTTTGTTGTTACTTTCTCATTTAAGGAAATCTGGCGAAAGTCATGGAAGCATAATACTTTCCTGATCAGCTTAAAAGTTTATCTGATGTGCATCTGAAAGACATCATTGTCTTGAAGATAAGCATGTCATTAAAGAGCCAAGAGACACTGGCCAAGCTGCCAAAGAGATGGTGAGGAAGGACACTTTAATAAATACACGTATTATCATCATTAACAGAAATCTGTGTCACATGGGGAAAGGGAACACAGTGCTCTCTGAGGAGTCATTTGGATAAATAGGGCTGCATTGTGGCAGAGACCACAGTGTGCTAAGTGGGCTCTGTTTCCAGAGATTTGCCCTCAGAGAGTGGAGGCCTGGTTCCTCCCTTGTGCTGGGCAAGGTCTAACAGATTGCTCAGACTCAGGAGCTCCTGCTGAGCCCTCGGGGGGCACAGGCAGGACTTACAGCCTCCCTGCACAGTGAGAAAAGAACAAAGCTGATAAAGGAGAGGTTACAGACCTCTTCTGGCCCCCCGTAGTTGAATGATCTGTGCCCACAGCATCTCTCCGGGGTACAAAGGTGGAACTGGGTCATTCAGCCAAAACAGGAGACCTTCCCATGTTAATACCCAGAAGACTGAAGATCCCTGTCCAAACCAAAATGTACTTACACTTAAATACATTTTTGCTCACCTTCTTGGCCACTTTGTGGCATTCACCTTCCTGCTCAGCGGGCAGTGCCACCTCCGACCGCCCCAGGCTTGAAGCATTCCCTGCCCTGCTGACATTTCCCGAGGAAGTGCTGAACTTGCCAGGCGAGCCTCCTGCTGTCAGCACATCCAGCAGCCAAAACAGGTGGAGCAAAAAGACAAATGAGCTCAGCGTGGTCAAATCCTGCCTCGCCAAGTACCTGTTGTGCTTGAGGCTGTGCAAGGGGGAGTGTACCTGTGCCTCAGAATGCTGCTATAGGGACGAGAGGTAAAAACAGTGTTTTTCACCTCGCAGTTTAGTGCTGTTCCATACTCATAAGCTAGCAGGTTCCAGTGGAGGCTGTGTACAAGCTCAGACTTGTTAGGACACCTGCTTAAAAAAAAATAAATAAAAATAAAAAAATACCAGGTTTTGCCTAGAAAAATGAAACATCTAGAATTGACAGCAGAATAGTCTGGTGTCTATTCAGTGTGCCAGTCTAAATACTTCCTCGATTTCTGCTCTACCTGCCATTGAAATAACAGTCCTTAGGATCAGCCCCATACCTATTCTTGTTACTGCCCACATAGAAGCATTTTTTTTTGCAGGTTGCAATTCCCCAAGCTTTTCCAGGAGAACAATTACTTTCTCTTTTCCTCAAGCTGGCCCTGACACACATTGCAGCTTCCCACTTACTTTTCCCTCTACGTTCACTACCCAGATGACATAGCCAACCTACTGGGTAATTTTACTCAAGCTCCGAGTTATTATGCACATGAACACCCGTAGCGTATCTCAAGCCATGTCTCACAGGCGTGCTTAATGAATTGAGTCACTTGCGTACGCACATGCCTTCTCTACACCCACATAATGAATAGGCTGTGAACCAGTAAACACACACCTTTTCATTTTCTCAGTTTTTGCCTCTCCCTCTCTCTGTTTTTCTTTTTTTTTTTTTTTTTTTCTCTTGTATCTGGCAATGCATCACAGTGAAAATCCACTCCCGAAAGGATGTATGAGGTGTTTTTGCTTGCTGGCATCCATCACAGCATGGTGTCACGGTGTCAGGTGTGCTTACCTCCTGCCCTCTGCTTCCCTCCTAGGGCTCCACCCATCATAGGATACTTACCCTTTGAGGTTCTGGGAACGTCAGGGTACGACTACTACCACGCAGATGACCTGGAGCTTCTCGCTAGGTGCCATGAACACTGTAAGTTCCTCTCCCTCCGCCGTGTGCCTGTCTGTGATCTCTTGTGTCACCCGTGCAGCCTGCCACTGGCATCACAAAAGGCATCTGTGTCTGGGAGGGAGGGGATGCCCTCTTCTCATGAAATAAAGACAGCCTTAGCCATCTGAGAGGCTCTGTCCCTGCAGAATTCAGTCAGATCAGCAACTATTTCTGCAGCTTTCCCAAACTGGCAGATACACGGATTGAGCTCATGTTGTGTGAGTGAAATTAGATTGATAGATGGGAATCCAGATCTCCCTACCCTCTGTTCCCCATTTATAAGGGCAGCCCTGACCCCTGGGATGTTGCTGATTGTCACCGTTCCTGGGGACTTTCTGTAGGCCAACGGGACCTGAGCATGTCACTGCCCAGGGCCGCAGAGCCTCACTGCCCCTCTGTGGCTGCAGGGCCACGCTGGGTTGGTAGCAGGGCAAGGAGCCTTGTCCTTGCACCAGAACATCTGCTGGCACAGTCTGAGGGCTTCCAGCCCAGATTTTTCTCAGCGTTTCATCGTTTTGAAGATTCTCCCAGCTCTGGCTGCTGTGTGAACACAGAGAAGTGACCTGCGGGAGCCCACGAGGAGCCAGGTCCTGTGGAGGTGCTTTTTCCCAAAGACTATTTTTTCTATTTTTTTACATGCACTTCAGACTAAGATACTGAACCGGAATAAAGTCTGTCCCCTAGCTGGTTTGCAATGCCCAGAAATAAAATCTAACTACACACTCCGTAAAATGCATCTTGGTTATCAGATATTTTTCCAGAAAATACCACTTACAGATTTTCTGTTGGGCAAAGGTGCTCTGTTTGTCAGTCTACCATCTCTGGAAGGAGAGTTTTTTGCCACAAAGAAATGAATCTATTTGCCCGAGAAAGTGGGGAAGGGAAAGTGCTGAAACTGCTCTGCAGTGCTGGCAGCATGATGCTGGGACACAAAGGAGCTCCGTGACCGCCAGCACTGCTCCAACACTGAGTTGTAAACCCCCATCACTGCCCTTCTACCACTGTCCCTCTACTGTACACACACGTGAGATGCTAAAAGAGAACTGAGAAAATGAGTCTTTCTCCAAATACCAAATTTCCCCACTCTGCCTCCTGCTGGCTTCCCGGCACGGTCGAGGTGAAGCGCGGTGACCCAGCGGGCAGCAGGGCCACAGGCTGCCTGGCTGGCACGGCTTGGGTCAGGTGCAGCAAACACATAGATGGGAATACTAAATAAATACTTTATTTGCTTATAACAATGGCACTTTTTAGTGTGTTTAAAGGGCCATTCAGACAGAAGTGAGCTACTTAACCAGCTGATGTCTTTTGGTAATATACGCTTGCAGTTTGACATAGATGCTAACTATATTGAATCTATTTAGTGGCTTTCATCTCTCACCACTGATCCCCTCTTACATTATAAAAGCATAGCTGCCTAGCACACCCACAGGCAAGGATCTTTTCATCTTTCTGTGCAGATAGGCGAGGTAAGGTGCTGGTGAAATGACTTCCAGAAGTTGCATCAGGACATTTGTGACAGGACCAGGCGCTGAACAATCCCCAGCACAGCCTGCTAGCCAGAAGACCTCCAAGTGCTTCTTCTGAAGCTCATCCCTACTAATGGGATCACTAAAGAAAGCAGCCCTAACAGTTAAAAAAAAGTAGAGATGTGCAGCTCTGTAGAAGTGCCTGGGTTCCTGTGGCTGGACATGCTCCCATCAGTCAGGCTGGCCTCTGTGGGCAGGCATCCTGCCCGCTCTGAAGTGAAATGGGTTTGCTTAAAGCACGCTTGTATTTCACTTTGCATTAATTACGGGTAGTTTAAATGAGCATGTTTCATTTTGTACTGACAGCAGTCTGGGAGCAATTAATGCGGTTATTTAATGTAGTTCCCCTCATTATGTTCCCGTTTTATTACAGCATCTGTGATTTTTCTGAACATATCCTGATGATGTGTACTAGGTCTATTGTACTTAGGCCAGCTCTTTAGAAGCAAACTCTCAGTTTAACTGCTAAACTCCACTATCTTATTGTTTTGTGCCATTATTAGGATCCTGACTTCAGGCCCACTGTCTCTGAAATGCATTTTCATGTGCTTCTGAAAGGCCAGTGCCTTGCTTACATGATGTTATCTGTGCTTATTACTTTCAGAGAAGCCCACTAATTAGTTCTAGGAATAAGACCAGTTAGATAGTTATGCCAATTACTAGTTATAAGAACAATCTTAGAATAGTAAAGTGCACTCTTGTGAAAATAAGTAGCAGGAAAGAACCCAAATCAAAGTTCAGCACAATGTTTTTTGCCCATCATGCTTGTAAAGCCACAAGAGCCTTCTTAGTGGGGTAGCAAACTGCAAGGGAGAATGGGACCAAGTGTTTTTTTTTCTGATCTCCTTTATACCATGAACTTTCTGTAGTTCGTTTGCCATAAAGTGCTTTCTTTTTGTTTACCAGTGATGCAGTTTGGAAAAGGCAAGTCGTGTTACTACAGGTTCCTGACCAAAGGCCAGCAGTGGATCTGGCTGCAGACACACTACTACATCACCTACCACCAGTGGAATTCCAAGCCCGAGTTCATCGTTTGCACTCACCTGGTAGTTAGGTAGGAGCAAGCACCAAGCACTTCACACTACCTGTCCCGTGTACACATCCATCGTGTTTCCTGGCCCTGTTTTGTGTTAGCCAAATATTTGCTGTGCGCCTTAACACACTAAGATGGTATGCAATTGTACACAGTACGGCAGGAAATATGGGGAAAAGCATAATGTGTTCTCACCACTCTTTGGCAGCTGGTCTGGAAGCCACCACTGGCCACATCTATCAGTGTTGTCTTCCTCTTCTGTCCCCAGCAATGACATGGCATCACAAGGAACTGAAGCTCACAAAGCATCACAAGGAATCAGACAGCTTTATGGGCTACAAAACCCTTTGCTCAGAGTTTTAAATATTTGTGACCTAGCTACGACCTACCATGGTAGCTGCTGTCCTGCTGGCCGTGTTCCTTGCCTGCAGCGTGGCCCAGGATGCCCTCCAGTGGGATGCTGCTCTGGGCTCGGCTGTGGAAGCACTGGAGCTGCTGTGTTACCACCACTGCAAAAACAGTCATTGTATGGGGATATATCTAGTGGAGGGCTTGAAAAAAATAGCGACATGCTGGTTTGATCTATTAACTTGGTTAAACATATGGCTCCACGCATCTTTCTTTACTTCCAGGAATCAATTTGCAATTTTTTTTGTGCTCCTGTCAAACATCTCAAAGAAAAAGCACAAGTAAACTGGGAATCTTTCATGTGTTCAGAAACAGACTGAGGACACCTCAATAAACAGGTGTCAGTGGTTAGAGTGCTGATACAAACTACGTGTCAAGAGCTATTTTAAGCAAATGTTAGATGGAGAGATTGCTTCTGAGTTGTCTTGCTTCTGCCATCCTTCAGGCAATTGGGCTGCACTTCAAGCTCTGAATTTATTGAGCGTGGACTTGTTTCTTCTTCTGCTCTCAGTGCCTCTTAAGCTTAGTGATAATCCCAAATAGATTTTGAAATACAGTTCTGTCTTGTACAGTTAAGGCTTAGAATGTATCACTGAAACACACACGTTAAATGAACTTTAGGTTTAAAGCATGATTTCAGGAAAATTTAGTGCTTACACTGGTGTAATTAAGTTCTTCTCAGCATCTTCTCTTGCCCCCACAAAGGTTGTATCTGTTTGTATTTCAGCAGCCTTAGTTCTGACACCTTTCAGCGCCCACAGCACACAGCCGCTCAGAGTCTTTAGAACATCCTCTGCAATTTATCCCAGTGGTGAATCATGTGGCATTGTTTACTGTAAATATTTTATTATTTAAGAGAAAAAAAATAGTAAGGAAAACAAATACAGACTTCTAGAGGCACATTTATGGGGATTCTGGCATCCACCTCACATTGCAGCTGGGCAGCTGGCATCTTGTGTGCAGAGCTCCCATCAGGGTAAGGGATTTTAACCCTGATGTGGCAGGCGTGGTGCTGTGTACACCCCCAGAGCTTCGCTTTTAGACAAATGTTGTCTGAAGGCACCCAGGGCCAAAATTTTCAAAGGGGAGTCTACATCTGTGCTTGGAAGGATGAGATCAGTTAATCCCGCAGTCCTGCTTGGGTGGAGTGGGACGTGACACTGCCCTGTTGTTTCTGAGCTCTGGACCTTCAGTGCACGTGGTTATTCATAGATTGCAAGGCTTTACCCTGATGAGTATATGAGTGTGAGCTGTGCACAGCTTCTGACTCTATGGGAAAGGTCTATCATGACCCGTGTGGCAGGTACACTGCAGTACATAACACCCAGTGCATCTGTTTTCATGGACAGCTGAGGCCTGACACTGAAAAACTTTGAATTTTTCATTGTTTTTGGTAGTTATGCGGAAGTTCGAGCTGAAAGGAGGCGAGATCTTGGCCTTGAAGAGTCATCAATTGAACTGGCATCCTCTTCTGTAAAGGTACCATGTCTCTTCACGTTTGAATGAACAGGCTTTTAAACTACACAGTTGTCACTTCCTGATCTTAGGAAAACACCTCTTCTTCCTTTTCCTTTCCTCCCCTCTCCTTCCAAGCCTTCAGCTGGGTCATGGCTCAAGCAGATACACAGAAGTTCTGCACTATGTGGCTCTGAGCTGTCCCATCTTGGCGTAGGCGTAAAATGGCAAATTCAGCAGTTGCCTTGCGTGCACCTCTTTTGTTAATGCCAGCTTGTCATTAATACTCAGACAAAGATTGGAATGAAGGGAAAACAACACAACTGGTTCTTATTCCAGATTTCTGCTCTGTTTGCACCGTTGGGCAGGGTGGCATCAAGGGTAGGATTTTGACCAGAGCTGTAATTTCCATGGCTTGATTCAGCCTGGCATCCCAACACGCCTGGCCAATTAACAAGGTCATTTCAATTCATTTTTAAGTTCTTCCTCTCAATAGTTTACAAGACCAATAATCAAAGCAGCTCCAAGTACAATTATCGTTCCATTATTTTATAGAAAATCATGCCATTATTTTAGAGTAATCATTTATGGGATGCGTAGTGAAAGCTGTCCCAGGACCTTTCGCACTGGAGCAGGGGCCACCTTGCCAGCGACTGCTCTCTCCCCACAGCATGTTTGTGTGTCCGTCTCCTTCACACAATGACTGAGATATTTTTCTGCAAACGTTAAGCTTCGTCTGCTGGTGCAAGGCAGCAGGAGGGGAGGCAGAGCGACTGCTCCCATTCCTTGCTCTTCTGGAGGGGAGCTCCCAGGGAGGCGTGGGGAGGTGACACGGTCTCCCACAGCCTGCAGGTGAAACAGCCCCATTATATAAACCATCTGCCAATATCTGTCCTAGTGGTGTGATGCCTCCAATGGTGCTCATATTCACTGGGTTAGGCTGTTTCCCTCTGGGCAGGGAGGGTGAAGGCCTGGGGGCAGCCTGGCCGCCTCCCCGGGGTGGATGCGTGCGGCCCTGCTGGCCCTCCAGCACCAGGCCCGTTATTTTCCCTCTGACGACCCATGCTTGGCTCCCCACAGAGCCACAGCAGCTACCTGGACGTGGGGCAGTGCGGCAGCAGCCAGGAGGCCAGCCGGGAAGGAGTGTCACTGTCATCCCACAGCTCCCGCCGCTCCTCGCACACCGCGCTCTCCGACTCCGCCTGTAGGTGCCTGGCGCGATATGGGGGGGTGAGGGGCAGAGCAGCCCCCAAAATCTGTGGGTCGGGTGGGAAACATCCACTAGCAGGGACCGAGTCGGTTTGGGGGGTGCTCAGCATCAGGGACTGAGGCGTTGCGGTGCCACACGCCGTGTCCTCTGTCACCCACATGAGACCAGGGGTGGGCGGTTTGGGGACGCAGCCCCACAGCTGCTGGTCCATACAGGGAGCTCAGGCTCAGCGGGGACAGCACGGATCCGCCACCCCACCACCGTGTCACAACGAAATGTCTCTTTTCCAGCCACCTCGTCCATGCGGCACACCGACACCAGCACTCCCACCCGGACGGCGGTCCCAGAGAAGGCAGCCCTGCGGCTGGCGTTGGCTGGAGGCGCCCAGGTTGGTGCTACTAAAGAAAAGAGCTGGCAGACCTTGGCCTCGCCCTCAGAGGGGTCTGATCACCACCTCTGAATGTGTGGGGCCAGGGCTGGAGTGTCCTGGGGCCCAGCAGAGCTGCTGGAGGCAACAAGGCCACCTCCTGTCTTGGGGTTCATTGCTCCTCGATGCCAAACACCTCCCTGCACAAACCCACTTCTCTTGGGGTTTGTACACGTGAAATGGCTTTTGTCCAAACACTGAGGGTTTGCACTTTGCAGGGGGCATGCAGGAGCTCACATCCTCACATCCTCACATTCTCAGCCATCCGTGTGAAGCTTCCTGGCTTTCAAACTTCTTGCGCTTGTTCCTCACCAGAGTTGGGTGGCCAGCATGAGGCGCTGCCACGCCAGCTCTGTGCTAGAGGTGCTGTGGGCCTGCAATAAGGCTGAGTTTTCCTTTCTAGGCCATCGTAACTCCTCCAGCCCCCGGCGAACACCTCCCTCAGCATCCCGTGGCTCAGCCGGCAGTCCCCTCTCAGCACGCCGTGATGGTAAGTGTTTGCTTCTGCTGGGTATGCTCTGGTGTCCTGCCCCCGTGCTGGGTGGGGGGCGAAGGGTTTGTGCTGGGGCTTGTCGGGCTGGGTCCCTGCTCCCAGCACGAGCTAGGACACCACTAGTCAGTTATTTCAGTAATCTGCCCACCTTGTACCAATAAATTTGCGTTTCTGGAGCCAGCATCATTATGAGTGTTCATAGCAGGACTGGGCCTCCCTGTGACTTGTTCTCCACTCCCCACAGCCAGTGTACCACTTCCCGGCCCAGCTGGGGATGATGCACCAGCTGAAAGAGCAGCTGGAGGAGAGGACTCGCATACTGCAGGCAGACATCAAGACACAGCAAGAGGAGCTCCACGTCATCAAGGAGCAGCTCCAGCTGGTGCAGGACTCCAACCTGCAGGTACCTGCTGCTGCTGCCCGCGCCGTTCCCAGCCCACAAACAGGGTGCTGTGCTGTGCAGATCAGTGACAACGTTGGCTATGGCAAAAGCACTTAGAAATGAGCTCTGGATAAATTGGTTGTGTACTCTCAGAGGGCTGGAGAGGTGTCTCCTGAGAGGTAGCTGGCATCACTGTTTGCTTAAGTATTTACATGGTTTAGAAAAACAGTCGCAAGGAAGTGGTCAAGCTGTTCAGACGGCCCCTCTTCATGGTGAGCTTGGTGGTTCAGTGGCTGGTTAATGCTTCTGTGTCCCCTAGTGCCACCCTTGTGGCATGTAACAGGCGTAATGAGAACAGAGCAGTCGTGGCTCTGAATATTTGTGCACAAGCTAACATGACTCTGTTATCCATGGTTCACTTTGCCACTGAATTTAGAGCTGTGGTGTTGTACACCCAGCTGCCACAGCGCTGTGAAACCCCAATTTTAGCAGCAAAACTGAAGCACCATCTAGTGGCAGTAGCCATATAAGAGCTGTCTCACCATTCTTCCCATGACAACCCATGCACCTCTTCTTCTTAAAGATGCTGATGCAGCAGCCTATTCCCTTGGTCTTCAACAACGTGCAGCACCAGAGCCCCAGGAGACCCCCACCGCCTCCCGGGACGCCCCGGCAGCCCAGCGCCAAGAAGTCCCCCCAGCCAGGCCCGATGGGGACCAAGCACTACGGGGGCCCCCACGTGTCCTCACCGCGTCAGTTCCTCAGGGAGCCCTGTGGCACATCCTCACAGGTGGCTGGCTGCCTTCCCTGACCCCTGCCTGGCTTTTTATACACGTGCCTGCTGGCTCTAAGCGTTACGTGGGGGTACCTGCCGCTGTCCTGCTCATCTCCACCGTGCTTGTTTTACTCCATAGCCTGTACTATGAAATCGGTGTCAAGACCGTTGCAAATTGTGCCGTTCAGCTGTAAAAATCAAAGCTCGGTAGCCTAAAAATGTCAGAGCCCAGGGAGTGCTGGAGCCATCCCAGAACCAAGTGGGAAGTCTGGCTTCTGATTCATGGTGCTTGCAATCACCACCCAGTGCTCCTCTGCAGTCAGCAAGAGTTGTGACCTCATAGTTCAGGGAGCTAGGCATAATTGTGAAAGAGGGTTTGTTGCTTTTTTTCCTGGCCCAGATTTCTTGGAAGGCAGCTTTGAAAAACAAGTTTGGCATCATTAGACCTAAATTCACTGCATAGATCAGAATTATAGAATGGTTTGAGTCAGAAGGGACCTTGTTGTGCTGTCATTACAATCCCTGATAAAGGATCCCTCCCCAGCTTTCCTGTAGGCCCCCATCTTCTTGGGAAAGACTTGAACTGCCCCAAAAAATACTCATGCAGGTATGGAGGAAGCAGGAGAAGCATTCCTTAGGGGCTTTACACTCTCCCTCCCTTCGTAAGCTGCTCTGTTCTCCCTCGAGCTGTGCCCACATGCTCTGATGCAGCAGGAGAGCCTGCCAGCCCCTGCTCTGCCACAGCAATAAATGCACACAGGGTGTTTGTCCTTACAGACATACAGTGCCTATCGCTCTGTTCAGGGAGAACATCCACAATTCATCGTCTTTTTCCCAACTGCATCCTTGAAGCGGTAGCTTTAGCTGTCTAACAGGGAGCTTTAAAATCTTACCTGTGTGTTTGCGTCTGCATTTCAGGTACCGCAGCAGCAGCACCTCATGAGAGGAAACCAAGCCCAGCAAACGTGTCTGCCAGGGCAGACGAGCATTTCAATGCCCCTCTACAACAACCCCATGGTGTTTTCGCAAGCACATCCCATTACAGTGGCTGCACAGATGCCGACCGACCTGAGTGAAAGGCAGCCGCAGTCCAACTACAGCCAGGACAGGAGCCTCAGGTACGAGCTGGCCCTGTCCTCACAGACCTGTGTCTTGCTCTATCCAAAGCTCCAGGGTCTCTTTTCCAGCCAAGATGTGTTGTGGCAAAAACATTACTCCTATATACAAAGCTGGAAACTGCCCCAGACTATACGACCGCCTTTCAGGGAGGTATCTGCAGACATTGTCTAGGGGATCCAGCCACTGCAAAACACTGTGTAAAGGAACGAGAGAAACCAGGCTGCCTACAAGTCTGACCATCTATAAACATCTGTAATACATTTGCACGTATTTCTCGTGTGAAAATGTATTTCTCACGTAATTTGGCAGGTTTTAGCTCACCTCCATGGGTCACAAAGCAATGATAAGCATCCTATTTCATTGGCTTTTTTCAGGGAGAATCGGTGCTTTGCATGCTTTTGGGGAGGTCTTAAGGGGCTTGTTTTTAGAGCCTGGCAGTCAGCAGTTTGGTCCATCCCTGCCCTGACCATCCTCTCTTTTCCTCCACCGCAGAATGCTGCTGGACCAGTCCATCCAAGCCATGATGCCCGCCGCCAACGGCAGCGCTCAGGCCACGCTGAGCGGCACCAGCAGGCAGCAGGGAAAGTGAGTCCTTGCTTAGTGTCGTAGCAGGGCGCTTGCATAAGGTCACGCAGACACAACCCATGCTTGGTGGGGAGGGAGACGCTCGTGGCAGGTTTTGCACGGCGTGACAAGCCCTGATTCCTGCAGCACCCGGGCTGCCCAGGGTGGTGGCTCTGGGGTTGGCGTCTCATGCAGTGTTTTCCTCCTCATGGCAGATTCGTGGCGGAGCAGCAGACCTTGCCTCCCGCCGTGCAGATGCAGCCCATCACCTGCAGCACAGTCCGGCCCCCCGCCCCCTCGCCCGTCTTCTCCCCGTCCGTGGTGATCCCCCACGCCAGCTTCACCTCCCACCAGACCAGTGCCCCAGTTCACCTCCACCAGTGGCCGCAGCAGCAGGTTCAGCAGCACCGGCTCTACCTTCAGGTGAGGGAGCTGGAGCAGCTTTGTAGGTGTACACGGGGCTAGGGTTGGGGGCTGAGGGTTTTTTTTTTAGAAGAAATGGGGCTTAAGACTAATCAGACCTGGCCTGGCATGGCAACGTGCCTCCTGCTGTTATGTCTCAGCATAGCAAGTTTGGTTTTACTTAATCAGATGCAGTCAATTCCTGCAGTTGTGTTTTGTTTCCCAACACAAATCTCTGTAGAAGGTGATTTGGGTTTTTCAATGCATGTTTTCCATCAGTGCATGCCAAGTTAATGATGCTGCCAAGGAGAGGGGCTGTTGAAACTAATTATTAATGAGCAATACACTCTCCGAGGCTTGCTGGGTTGGCAGAGGTAAGCCATGGTTCTCCTGGCAAAGGCGACAGCACACAGAGCAGGAGGAAGAGCTAGAGCTGGAAGTCGTGCTGCAGGGCTGCATTTTGGGTCAGCTTCTGGTACTTCTGTCCAGGAGGCTCAGCAGCAAGGCACGGCGTGGCTGGGCACGGAGCAGGGCTGATTTGCCTTCGTGTCTCCCCACAGATGCAAAGTCCTGAGGCGGTGCCGGGGGGCCCGAGCCCGCGTGTTTTCCAGCCGGCCCACGTCGCGCAGCAGAACCCCCTGAGCTACTTCCTGCACCCGCAGCCGCAGAGCCGCCACGCACAGGGCCAGGCCTGCAACCTGCAGGACCTGCCCGAAATGCAGCTGCCCTGACCGCAGGCTCCCAGAGGCAGGGACAACCTTAGCTCGGCGACCCGAGCGCAGGCGGAGCGGGGACGGAGCCGTCGGAGCACAGACGGGTGAGGTCGGGGCCCCACGGGGGCCGGGATGGCCCCACCAGGGGCGGATGGCTCTGGAGGATTGGGATTTCCATGGGGGGGATCTCCTGGTGGTACAACCACCACCGAAGAGAGCCCTGGGGCTGTGAGAGGCCACAAGTGTCCTGGAAGGAGGGCACCTTCAAGAGCAAGGAGCAGAATACACACGGTGGGGCTCCTGCCCACAGGAGCTCGGCTCCAAAAGCAGCTGTAAACTTGTCGGTGAGCAGGATGGGCTTCGTTTGGGAGCCACGGGCAGGAGGCAGGGTGCTGCTGCAGGTCACCAAGCAAAGCCTTGTCCCTTCAGGGCTTTGGTGCTGGAAGGCACTGTGAGGGCGAGCCCAGCGCACGCAGCACACGCAGGCCGCAGCAGTCACAGGAGGGATTGCCGTGTACATAGCTCTCGTCGCACTCTAGTAGGTCCGTCGTGGAGTTTTTTCCTTTTTTCTATACCTCAACCCTGCCGTTTTTGTTTTCCAGGAGATTGGATAATGCTGCTAATTTACATAACACCACTTTTGCCTGAATTTCTTACTGTTGTTATACCAGCTCACATCACAACTAGTAAGATATTCGTCATGTTTTACTTTGGTTAACAAGTGCAGATAAATTTATATGGTTTTTACTCCCTGTAGCCAAATATTTTTCAGGTTACGGACAAAGACTCCTTACTCTTTCTTTTCTGTCGTTTTGTTTTGTTCCAAGTGGGTGTTGTTGTGTATGTTTCTTTACATGAAAACAAGCAAACAACACGTAGACCATCATGTGACAGCAAACTTTGTGGTTTTGCTAGGTCATATTTCAATTTGACAACCCTGAAACGTGTACTCACAATGACACAGGCACTGTTACAAGCCTGTCGGGTCAGCAATAAATTGTATTTTTGTAAATTGTCACTTTTTAACTATATGTTTATATTTATGAATTGAAAACCAGTTTATTCCTCAGTGGGTGTATAGTTAAGTGTCCCTACTGTTTGTGTCTTTCCAAAGGAAAAATGAAAATGTACATTTTTTTGAGGCATTAGTAGCTGAGTACTAACCGTGGGCGCTGTTCCAGCCCAGAGCAGGAGATGGTTTAGGCCATTATTTAAGCTGTGCAGGATGGTGGGTAGCTAGGAGCAGGGTCAGCCAGCAGGGATGCACCAGCTTGCAGCCAGAGCACTGTTTGGGGACCGCTGTCACATCCAATCAACGCTCTGAGGAGGGGGGGGTTGGTTGGGCTTTTTATTATTATTTTGTATTTGCATTTGTTGTTTCCCTGGCTCTCTGCACCACCCCAGCAGCTGCACAGCAGTGCTGACCCCACAGCCTCTGGCACAAGCAGCCCTGGCTTCAGGAAACGGGGGAGCAGGCACGGTGGCGTACAGGCGGGGTACAGCTGTAGCTGGAGACAGCGGGCGCTGCAGGGACACCTGCAGCTACAGCTCGCATGCGACCAAAAGCTGGGAGAGCCTGTCCTGCCACAGGGCCTTGGTTGCTTGGTGCTGGGGGCAGTGGTTGTGCACCCCGGGGATGCCGGCAGTGAAGAATTGGGTGTCACAGAGCAGGCGGAGGGGAGGCGCAGCCATGGCCTCCAGCAACATGAGGATGAAAACACACGCACAGAGGCTGGCACACGTGCTAAGGACACGCTGCTGGACACCTCTGATGGCCCAGTGCCGCTGCTGGGAGGCAGAGGCCGTGCAGTTCCTGCCGTGCCCCCTAAACTGCAACACGGCGGCTGGGCTGCAGCATGCCAGCCCTGCGCATCAGCCCAGGTGGGTGGCAGTGAACCCTTCGTGGTGGTGGTAGTGCTCGGGGTCGGGGTTGGGGTCTGGGAGGGACAGGGGGTGGTTGGCAGGGCTTGCTAGGGAGGAGGCAGGAGTTTGCTGGCTTTCAAGGCAAGTCCCAGGAGCGGTTGGAGGGGGTTGCAGGGCAGCGGGTGTGCCGGACGGGGCTGTGCCCCCGCACAGCCCTTCTGATGGCAGCCTCTCAGCAGGGAGGGTGGATTTGCAAGGATGTTTACATGTTCAATTGGCCTTGCTAAGAACAAGAGATGTAAAACACGCACTTTATCAGAACCTCTCCTCTGCACGTGCTTTAGTTCCAGTGCCCACACAGCCGCTAGCGCAGCTGCTCGTGGTACCAGGTGCGGGCACCCAGCACAGCACAGGTGAACTGGGCAGAACTGGGCTCCTGAGGGCAAAGTCCCCCAGCCCCGTGGTGGGGGCTGGCTCTGTCCCCGCTCAGGCTGCCTCCAGGCAGGGCAGGGGCAAGGCTGGCTCAGGGCCCCAGGCTTTTTGCCTTGCATCACCACTCACGCTCAGAAGACAAAATACATCTCTTTATTCAGGTTGAGTTGTATTCGTTTACCTCGGTGTTAGCTACGAGCTGTGTTTTTGGGACCTGTTTGGAATGGAGGGTTGCTGGTGGGTTTGGTTCACCCCCGGGTATTTACAAGAGACGCCAGGCATGAGGTGGGCACACCGGTGGGTGGGAACATGACCAGTGCTGCCTGTGCCAGGGGCTGGGCTCTAGGGTCAGTGCTCACTAGCGTCCTGAGGCTTTCTAGCACACAAGCACCTCTATACTATCTCTCTCCACATATACAGATACACAGATATGTTTTTAATGTGCATATACGTGTATATCTCTATATATAGGCCACACAATTCCAGACCTCTGAAAACACAGGCAGCTTTAATTAATAAAGTCTTGCACTTTTAGCATATTTGTACATATAAGCTAAAGCCTGGTGGGTACCATCAGGCTGGTTTGACAAACACAGTGAGAAGTTACTGTACATAGTGTAACATAGGCCATGTAAAAAAAAAAGAAAAAGAGGAAGAAAAAATATGAAAAATCTTAGAACTGACTATAAATCTTGGTTTATTTTATATGATGTCAAATATAGATACGTTTATAAATGTTACTATTCTTAAAAGTATTTTGTAATGGGAAAAAGGAAGTGTCTTATGAAGATGAACAGTAAAGATTTTATTCTCGTCTTGAATCTATGTCCCTGCACAGCTCCATTGGATGGCAGTCTGTGCGTTTTGACAAGCTTTAAAGAGATTGTACATAGTATTTTCAAAAAAAAAAAAAAGAAAAAGAAGAAATAAAAACATACTTGCAAGACCTCTTACACAACTTGTGCTGTTGTTATTCCCTGAGTGGTGTGGGTCAGGCAGATGATCAGATTGCTCCTTGCTCTCTAGGAGGTGCAAGAGCTGCAGCCATGGCACGCACATACACACGCAGAAACAGCTGAACAGAGGGGCTCAAGAGACTGCCATTTTCATGACCAGTGCCAGAAGCAATAAGGACAATGCATGAATTTGAAAGAACAAGGTATCAGTGTCATATATCTGCACACAATAAATGTTTTAATGGGGATGCAAAAGTAATGCTGCTCTTCTCTTCCTGGCTTTACTCACCAGCCATCTCAGCACTGAAAAAGGAGAGGTTTCATGCACTGCTAAACTAGACCCACCCTTCAAAACTGCCTTCAAAACCTGGATCTCCTCTTTTATTCATTTTTGGAGGGGTTGGAGTCCTAGTGTGGTCCTTGTGTGGTTCAATCCTTGCTTCAGAAAGGAATGGCTAAAAATGGTTTCAACGTGACTGATGTTTTTGAACAAAATTCTGACACAGTCCATCGTGAGAAAGAATAGTGCCTCAAACTTTTTTTGTTCTTAAGTGAAACATTTTTTATTTAACACCCCATTTGTCTTACAGTATTCTGCATACAATACAATGTATAAAAAGCCAACCTGCCAACACCAACGTGTTGCCTTCTTGGTAAAGTGACAAAGCTATAGCAAAAAGACAAAATAGCCTTATGTTTCCAGAGACAAATTAGAGTATTTCATTTTTTAGTTCAGGTAATAACTGCAATCACAATCAAGAACCCTGTATAGTACAATTGGATGAGAAATCTCTAATAGAATCAACACACAGCTATTTCTTAGTTGTTATATTAGCAAACTCTTCTAAAAAATATATTACTATATAGCCATCAGAGTGAGGAACAAGTGGCTTGTCTTAGGAATGGACTGAAACAGAGAGTGCTCATTCTGAATCACATAGCAGTGACCAAGTCTCATGAAATGCCCGTTTGAGTTATAAAGGGCTCTCCCCTTTCATGGTGGAAAGGGCTCGCACTTTTATTACCATCAGTGGAGCTATTCCCTCACCTCGTGTGTTCAAGCCCTTTGGGGTGACTGTGCAGAGACAGCGCCGCACCTGTTATACACAAAGGGGTTGAGCAGTCATGGAGCAGCACGCGCCGCATTGAAAGGCTGAGGGAATGCTACAGCTCTGCTGGCCATCCCCATGGGCAGGTGATTGCGTCTGACAAAAGGCATTTTATGTGCATTATCAACAATAATAATGGCCCAGCCACAAAAAAGGGCTGTGCAGTGCACGCCAACAGCCACTGAGAATGTTTCAGGACAAGTAACCATGGCAGAGCTGCCAGGTCCTGCTGGTGACACTGCAGAAGGTAGTGCAATTTAAGAACTGTATAAACAGCATCACTAGTGTTAGCAATCTATATCCGAGCTACAATCATCTAATTTGTACTGAATGTTGTACATTCATTTATTTCCTATGACAGAACCAAAAAAAAAAATAAATCACTTAATGAAAACTGTTACAGGAAAAAAAAATAAAACTGAGACGTGAAGTGATGTATCTGTACTCATTTAACCACACTGCTTCCTATTGATGAGTAAGCTGCTTAAAAACACTTCTAAAAACTTCCAAGTTGCAATTTGAATGGAAAGTCCCCCCATTGGGAAGTAGCTGAGTAGTGCAGGGCCAGCCACCCTGCAACCAGCAGGCTCCCTGCTAGCGCTTCTGCTTAACTCCCAGCTACGTGCCGCAGCTGACCTCTTGCAACAGAAATGTGTTCACCCACTGAGTCCTAATGCAACACAACGTGAAACAGCATTCATCTTTGCAACACCAAATATATTTTAAATATATTTTTTAAAAATTGTATGCTGGTAATCTCTCTTTTTATACATAGATATGATATAGCTGACAAGGATTACTACATCACTGGTAATGGCTCTATGGTTTCTTGGACTGACACCAATAGAAACTGGTATTTCAAAAGGGTGCTCAGTTTTGCATAACCAAACCGTGTAATAACACGAGGCCATTCTTATTTTGCAGGTTTCTTCAGCACAGTCTTTTGTACTTTGATTTTAACTTGCATGTTTTTCTTTTTTTTTTTCTTTTTTTTCTTTTTTAACAAATAAATTGGCTCTCCAACTGAAAATGTCTTTGAGTTTTAAGAATTTCATGTCACTATGCTATGTTGCTTAGCAAACTATAGCTTTGACTACCTCTTGAAATTAGCAATATCCATCATGGACCTACAAAAGCTTTTTGTCTGGGTAGCTGTCTCTCTTTTCATGGGGCTATGTTAACTTCAGCACAGCTGCTTGCATAAGAATTACTCACAGAGCAAAGCTTATCTAAGTACGTCCTGGACTAGAACATCAGTATCATCTGCTTGTATTTCTAAAACAACATTAGGAAAACAGTGAGCAAACACATTTACAAACACAGTGTTGCCCTACTTTGCCTCAGAAACATGCATATGAATAAATTAGTTTGTATGTTTTATGCATAAATATACAAATTAGATTTATATTGTATCACCTATGACTACTTTATGAAGGCTTCTAAAACAAGCTTCCTCGTTTTTCGCAAGTATCTTAGATTTTTTGGAGTTACTGTTCATTCAGTAAATCTTTATATTAATACCTGAGAGTGCAGAGAAGAGGAGAGGAAATAATATACATTCATTGCTCCTGATCAAGACTGTATTCTTCAAAAGCGGCATGGAAACATTAAACCCGATTGCAATTATGGCATTTCAGCAAATGCTTGTAACACAAGTCAGAATTTCATGTTATTCCTCATTCATTTTAGTATTGCAAGAAAAACAACCAACAGTGAATGTTTTCATCCCTGTTCTGCTTCTTTGCAAAAAATACACACAATATAAAATAATGGTGCCCTGAAGAAAATGTTTGTCATACAGCTTTAAAAGCAGTCATTTTTAACCAGTTTAACAGATTCCCAACTTACTTTGTTGTTGTTGTTAAAATACAAGCTCTTCCCCTCCTTCTCTAAACCCATTCTAGCACAAGCTACCTAAGGTTCAAGGTCAACACCCATGAGCATGAACACTGGCAGAGCTTACCTGCCCAGGATGTTTACTCTACCTTTATTTATTTATTAAGAATTCCAATTTGGATTCTAGAGGGTTTGCTGTTGCCATCAGTCCTGGCAGACAGAAAATAATTACAACAGCAATAATCCAAAGAGCTATAAAAATGAAATAATAATCACTAGTTTGAGGTGCGGACTCAGGGTAGAAATAGGAGCAACTGCAATCTGTCTGTAGCAGTTCCACGGTCACATTCAGCTAAGAAGCAGCTTAAGAAGCAGCTAAGGATGGTCTGTCCTTGGGCACTCCAAACACAAATAAAACCATACGTTTCATCAACATGCTCCTAAGATGTCAACAATGGCTCCTCTTGGAAGATAAATGACAACCACCATGTGGTCAGACAGATTTAGCCACTGTTCTCCCTTGATTTCAACAACCTATACTACTAGCCTCTGCATCCGTGTGCATCCTGGATGACCAAGCACCTTATGTCCTTGCATCTGTCCTGAAGGAGGATTGATATGAGAATGGGAAAGAAATCACAAATACAGGCTGAGCTAGAAAAATAGGAAATTAGTTTTACAGGCCACACTGCAAAAGCTGATACATGGGCTGCAAGAATGCTGTCTGAAAACTGACAATGAGGGACTGGAATCTGCAATAGTCAGGACCATCGGTGACACCAAAGCAGGGGAACAGTAAGCAGGACAACTTTTATTTCCTAACCTCAGGCTCTTGTGCCCACCACAGCTACCAGTTCAAACCTATGTTCTCAGTCTTCACCCTGCTTTTGATCCCAGTCCACATGCAGACTTGGAAATTACGCAACTAACCTGGAAGTCAACCTCTTAGCTGTTGATAACTCATTTTAAGTGGAAAATGTCTGGAAGTCATTACGTTTATCCCAGTAATAGAAATGAACCTGCAGAGCACGCACTGTAACAGCTGTCATTCAGAAAGGTTTGTCATAGGTCACGCCTAGTGTTTTCTAGCAATGTTGCATATTTTAATAACATGGTAAAGACAGTTTATCCTTCAGCCCCTGCTCGGGCTGAAACTTATGAACAATGCAAGAAAGTGATTGTGCTTCAAACTATTTTTATTTACATCAAAGAATACCAGTAATCTGATATTTAAAGCTCAATCTTCAAACCCCCTTCCCTATGTAAACATCGTACTCAATTTCCATAGAAACAACCTTCATTTGCAAGTGCTTTATGTGGTTAGTTCAGAGTCAAAGATAAAGCAAATTACACTCTGGTTCTTGCTTTAAGTTGCAAATTTTTAGCACTCTCTATTTTAGCTTTTATCTCGTGAGGTTTCTCAAAAAATCTCACAAAGGCTGGCTCATTTAATAAGGACGCCAGAATCTGTTCAAAGGCAAAAGACCATTCATGGTTCCCTTTCAAACTCTGTGCCCTACCGCCTTCAGTCTGCTCCGAGCTGCCTTCCTCCGGCCCTTTTTGGAGGCTTTCAGCAGAAACCTCTGTAACGGCAGCTGGACTTTTGACTGGTGACATGGGACCTTGCAGTCTTCTCCCAACTTCTTCCATTTTCAGCAGGAGGCTGGTAACCACTGCTATAGCCCGGTACAACAGCTCCTCCTCAGGATCCCCGTGGAATAGATTGTAAAGGGTTTTTGAGAACTGGATGAACTGAGACTACACAGATAACAGAGGAGACTATTTAGAGAACAGCACACAACTCTCATTTCTCACTCCACACCGTGATCTCAATCCAGCACTTGCTGCTGTTAGGCACCTGATAACAACTGCTCTACTAACAGTACGGGCCTGGACCAGCCCTGATGAAACTGTGCGTCTGGAAGCCCCTCTCTTGCAGTTTACGGTAAGCTTACGTTACAGTAATTTAGAAAAACACAGTCTATGGTTAATGTGAAAGCCTGAAATTTAAGGGATCCTAAGAATCCTTTAGAAAAATACTAACAGAACTTAAAAAGAGACAAAGCAATCAAAACCAGACTTCTGTAATTCTCTGACACAGATTGTTTTACCTGATTCATTCTTGGCAGATCCTTGATGTTTTCTTCTTTTTTAAGAAGTTCATCTTGCCATTGCTTCAGATATGCCTGAATATCAACTTTCCCCTTCCCTATTTGACCAAAAGAAAAAAAGAGTGAGCAAACAAGAACTAAGAGTTTACATGGGGGATGAAGAACAAAACAATTGTATCCTCCATGTCATTCTTTCTCAACAGAGTAGTAGGACCAAAAACTACACAGGATCAGGGTTTACATTACATGCCCCTCCTCCCCGAGGAATACACTTATAAAAGTGGATATAACGTTAGCATTACGCTAAGATCAGCATACTTTTTCAGCACACACTTTCCCAGCTATACTCCCACTTTATCAAGTTATTACCAAGCGTTTCCAGGATTCTCTACCTTTTTCCGGGCTGCTCTTCAAAGCATTACTTTCAAGATTATCCCCAGTAGATGAAACTAGAGTTTCAGAGAAGAAAAGAAAAGTTACTGCTTCGAGAAAGGAGGACCAGTGCTTCACTTCCTTTATCAAAAAATCTTTCCTTAAGGAGCAAGACCCCCATGTTTTCAACACAGATTAGGCCAAAAAAGCACACGGTAAGATATACACATATTTCTAAAAAATAAAAGTTAAAAAAATAAAATAAAAGGCACCATGAGATTGGAGATCACGAAAAAGCTAAAACCAGCTGTATCAAGTGGATAATATTTTGTGCTCCATGTCTTGAACAACAGTGAGGACAGTGCCACCATACTACAGATAAAGTACTTTTAGATAGTTTCTAAAAACCAGAAAGGATCTCTCCTCCAAAGATGTAAAAACAAACAGCTTTCCAAATGTAGTATTTTGTTAACTCCATAAATTTAAACCCCACATTTAAAAAAAACACACACACATACACACCTTAGTGGATTTAAAATGACAGCGAAAGATTATGAAACCCTTAAGTGCCTCAAAATAATTGAGGACATGGATATTACGTTAATAAATTTCTTGAGGCAGGAAATATGCCTTTATGCCTTGAATACAAGAACTGCAATGGTCATCATTTTAATGACTATTGCAACAGAAAGGCTGCCTCCTATGCTGAGAAATGCTGACCAAATATACTCCTCTATTTCCATGTAACCATTTGGGGCCTTTGAGTTCAATCATCAGACATAACCAATTCAGGGCAGGGAACATCTCTGTTCTTTATATGACTGCCAGTGAAATGGCCTGTTACTGATGCCTGGATGTACCACCCCACACAGCTGGTTATGATAATCAACCCATGTGCTGCTACAGAAAAAACTGCTGTGAAGAAAGATGGCTATCCTCAAATTCTGCACTGCTTCATATGGCAATGTAACTGTCTCCAGAAGATCTTCAAAGAGGATTCTTGTTAACAAGGACATGATTTGCTAGAATTCAAAACAGCTTTTGGAGGCTTTCAGAAGAAAGATCTCCATTATGCACTACAGGAAAATTAATGGAGTCCTTCCCAAATTCTGCAGGCAAAGTCACACACTCTGACACTTACCACTGAGTTGACTGAAGTGGATCAGTTCTTCTTTTGAAAGATCACCACCTTTGGAAGGGCTTAGAGATTCTACTTCAGTAAAAGCTGAAATAAATAAGTGAATGAAGTGTTTTTAGGGCTCCCAAGCATTAACAAAGCAGGGAGAAAAAGCAAAAGCTTTGTACATATTGTTCCTATGAACAAAACAGAAAGTGTGTTTGAGTAGATTAAGTCCTCCCCAAAGAATATATCACCCTGGAAAAAATACACATCTGTATTACAGCTATGGGACTGTACTGTAACCAGGGCTAATGAGAACAGGAAGGAAAGGGAAGCTTAAATTAAAATCATGCAAAGATGATAAAAGCCAGGAACAGCCCTCCCCAAATGCTACCATTTCTCACTCACCTGGAGGAATGTGCAACTTAAAAAGAAACTTGAGTTTGTCTGTGAAACTTCCGTTGTACATGGTATCTATTGGAGGAAAGAGGCAACCAAGGTTATTCAACTGGACCCAGCTTTAAAATACCCCCTAACCTAAACAAATACAACCCAAGGATGTCAGAACGGGACATGTATTCTGTCTTACATGGAGTATGATTAGAGATGATGCTTAAGGAAGTATCAGCTGCAGCTAAGCCTGAGGTTTGCCTACACTGAGGCAAGAACACCAAAACATTTTAGCACACTATCCTACATATTGAGGCCCTGCTTCCCAGAACACATCTGAGCATCGCTCATTGATACAAAGTGAAGAATAACTGTATTTTTCCCTTCTTTGCTTCCTCACAGCTTTTGCTTGTTTTTCCCTTCTTTCTTTTCCCCTTAATTAAATTACTCTCACCTCAACCTGTGAGCCTTTTTCTTTCCATCATATTTTCTTCTCTTTTGAGGAGGGGGAGTGAGAGAGCTGTTGTGGCAGACTTTAGCTGCCCAGCAGGGTAAAACCACCATGTAAACAATAGCACTTTGAAAACAAGATGAAAAGAATAAAGCACTAACTCCAGAAAACTTTCAGTTGCCCAGGGATATAAAGCACTGTTTATCTTACATGATCTGTGTATGAGTAGGCTTTCAGTGCGAGGAAGCATTTATCATCAACCAAACAGGTTGTGCAATGAGGTCGTGCCCTTTACTAATTTTCTGGTATTTTGATGGCAAAGCTATATTTAAATTTCATCTCAAACAGGAGATTGCTCTCCATGGGATTAACATTTCAGAGAAGTTCCCAATTTGTAAAGCTTTGTGTCAACTATTTCACAGTGAAATACAGACAAGAAAATGAGCGCACAGTTCTGCAATTTAAAGCCTTTTTCATTCACCTAAAGAACGCAGCTCCCACTCTGAAGTTTATAAATATACTTTGAGCATTTGACTTGCCATTTCACGTCTTTGCATTTAATGCCCCAAGATAAAGGCAAGACAATTTGACCCTACATTAAGAGGCTAGCCTCCTTAGGCTCCTTATCTCATGTATGGAAGGTGATAACACCGAGGACTATTTCCAAGATGGAGTTCCCTTGTGAACGTGTTACATATGTACTGTTCTCTTACCAAGAACACAGGCAAATTGCTTGAAGTTTATAAGGCCATCAGAGCTCTCATCCATCAGTCTGAACGTCCACAATGCAAGCGAGTCTCTGTTTGCACAGTGTGACCAGGGACTTAAGAGATGACAGAGAACCCTGAACTGCTGGCAATCAATTCGATACTGCTCGAGATAAGGTAGGCTGGCATCGTGGTGTCGCAAAACAGGACTATTCACGTTCCAGTAACAGGAAAGAAAGTGCTCTTTCTGCAAAGAAAAGGTAAAAACATTTAACTGGATAAAACAACTATTTATCTGGGTAAAAGATGTGGGGAGTTAGCTATTTAATTTGTGTACGTGTAAAAAAATACACTGAATCTAGCTTTCTCCTCAATTTGTTAAAACTGTTTCACAGCCATCATACAGCTCACCATTAACATACATGCTTGAGAAGTGAGGAAGGTGGCACACTACCTTGAATAAGTCATAAAGCTCGTCAAGATCACTAGGACTGAATTTTACATCCTGGGACACAACACGTAGCTGAAACAAAATAAAGAAAAATAATTAATGAGTCTTTTCTTTTTGGAATAAGCCCATAAAACATTCACGAGATTTAACCTTACATTTAAAAAATACAGTTTGAATATTCCAGGTTTTGGCATGTAACCAATTAGGAGTAAGAATAGGGTTATTTCTTAAAAACAATCAGAAGATGATTGGAAGGAGATGACTGGAAAAAACAACTTCTCTCTGAAAAGAGACTTTGAAGCTACTCACATCATTTGCATATATTGAGCCTACACTATGAAACTCATGGGATAAAACTTGAATGCCAGATTATTTATAATGAAGTAACATTTACCTTCGGTTACAATGGACATTCAGCCCTTACCAGTGAAGCTGAATCCCCATTTTTTTAAAGGAAAAAAAAACAACAACAGCATTTTCAAACAAGATCTATATCCATCTCCACAAGATGTACATTTTGTAAAATGAAATACAACAGCTATCATCTTAGCTCAACAAACAGCATTTAGTATCAGTTGGTGCAAGCCACCTCTACTAGAGAAAAAAAGCACTGCTTGTTTAAGTAGTCTAGTCTTATCACCAGTTATTGCAAATATGCCACTGAAGAAAACAAAAAACAGGCAAACAAAGGAAGCACCCTGCAACCTCTACCTTCATTCAGGGGTCTGAGCTGAAAGGATGATGTTAGTAGCTGAAGAGCTGCCGCACCACACACTCAAGAAGCAACCCTTATTGAAGGCAGTGCATTCAGTGACATTTGGGATTGCTTTGGAGAGCAAAAATGCAAGTGATTGATTGTTTTACTACAGCATTAGGTCTCACAGAAAAATGCATTAACAATTCAAGAACAGCAGAAAGAAATATAGGTCAGCCTGCTCCAATCAATGCAAGTGTCAGAGAAATGGCAGCCTTTAGAAACTATCTGTGATGACAGTACTTGTAATGAGAGCAGAAGGTCATGCTGTGACTGACAGACTGAAAACATCACAGCCCAAACCTCACTTCACAGATACCCTGCAGACGAGAGGGATTTCACCCTAAACAATGATTTATTTGGCCTTAAAAAGAGTAGCTTTTTTTCAAAATTTTCCAAGAGAGAAGGAATTTTAGCAGAGGGAAGGGTTTAGTTCTTTAAGTCACTCACCACATTCTGCTTAGTTGTAGCTTCTAATGTCTGGATCACATAAAGCCTGTTTCTGCAGCGCATACTCTCAACGTCCTCATATCGAATATCGCCGTATCTCTATGAAGAAAAGCATAGTTCTATGAAATCAACCGTTGTTAGATAAATCTAAGCAGATATTTATGTCTTTTCTGCATCTAAATACAATACAGGTAGGGACACAAAGAAGACTGCAGGAGCTCTGAGCAAAGAATCATTTATTATCACACCATGATTCACCCTGAACAGTGTAACTTTCTAAAGGGTGGGTGTTTAAAAGCATGACAAGGAAAGAAGAAACTATGGATTAGTTCACTGTAAGGGAAGGCAAAGGAAAGGATTTTACTGTGTTGGCTCTATATACAACTTTGTTATCACGTGGTGACTAGCACTGCAGGGTATAAAAAAAATATGTACATGTTGTCAGGCTTGAAGTTCACTAGAGTGAAGTAATTTCTGAACCATCCCTAGCTAACTCTGCGATGTCTAAAGGACAGGGAAGGTGTCTAAGGATTTGAGTAGAATAAATACATTTACCTTTAAAAAGGGTAGGAAAGTAAGCAAAAACTAGAAGAAAATTCCCAGAGAAATCCTAGAACAAATTATCAAACAATTAAAATCTAAATAGAAACAGGTAAGATAATCAATATTGGCCAATACTCTTAACCAAAATCATGTCAAATTAATTTTATTTTCTCCTATGAGAAAAATTCAGCCTTATATATAGAACTGAAGCAGTGGGTATGATGCATCTTTACTTCTATAATGTTTTTGACACCCTTCAGCAATGCATGGAGCTAGGAAGACAGTGTAACCACGGTCACCAGGAACCATGTGCACAACTGGTTCTAAGACCAGACTTGGAGAACAAACCGGTGATAAACTACCAAACTAGGCAGAAGTTTTAACAGTGTTTTACTCCCATTTTTGCAGTGCACTTTAAATAAAGTATGAAAGACTTCAACAGTCATAAAAAGAATCTGAACACATGCATTTTGAAGAAAGGTTGAACGAACTGTTCATACTGAATCTAGAAAAAGAAGAAACCAGAGCTGAAGTGGTAAGAGGCGAATAACAATTTAATAGCAACAAGGATTTGCAGAGAAAGATGCAATTGATTTTCCTCAACAGCTCTTTATGAGCACCTAAGATGAGTTATACTGGATATTAGGATATTTTGCGGTTAAAGGTACATAAAAGCTACAATGGGCTAAAGTTGTTGCAGGTTCTCTTTGTCAAAGTTTTAATATTAGACATTTTTCAAGGATGATCGGGGTGTACCCTGGAGAGGAAGCTGAACTGGATGAACTCTGCAGTTCTTTTCCAGAACTGTAGTTCTGTGCGTGAAGACCCCTAGCAGCATATTTCTGTCATGAAACAAAAGGGAAACAGAGGAATTGCATCTTTGAGTCACAATGCATTCGCTAATCAGACCTCCAGACACTGACATTGTGCAACGGCCTCGCTAAGAATATAAACAAGATGTATAAACTAACTCTGGGTAAGTGTGATAAATTCATATTTCCATTCACCAGTTAAGCATGACTTCTTCATACCTGATTAGACTAGAAAAGAATAAAGCTTGTGTTTGTATCTGAGTCCTAACGACATAAAGCTGAACATAATTTTAAGCTTTGACTCCATAACTTTTCATTTAGTCTCATCTGTTTCTGAATACCTATGTGAAGCAACAGTACCAACAAAGAACATCTCTGGTCACTTATTCATGATTAGTAACTAGACCTGTCTGCAGAGGGACAACTTTCCATTGCAGCAATCTTCCCATTTCAAAATTTGTTCAATGTGAATTCAACAGTCATATGAAAATAAAACCCTATACCAGAACTGAACTGTGTTGAAATGAACTGTCTGGTCTAAAAGGGAAATGAGAAATTGACTCTCACTTTGTATCAGCAATTCTCAAACAAAGGGTTGCAACACTTACCAGCACTGACAAAATTCAGTTTCATCTGAAGATCCAAGTTTACAGCCAAAAAGGGGCCATGAGATAAAAATGGGGATAAAGGCCTGGGAGCAGGACTGTCAGCGTGGAAATGGGAGATTCACATTCAAAGATCTGCCCAAATCAGTTTTCAGAAGCCATACCTAATCAAGACACTATTACCATTTTGGTCCAGTCACCTGACTAAAACAGCAGGAGAAAAAGAAAGCGAGTTCCTTTTGCTTTCTCTGTCTGTCAGTAATTATTCTCTCTCCGTGAAAACTTCAGCTTACACTTCAGAACGTAACATCCAGCACTTCGTTATTTACCACATCTATTCTTCATTCCGCAAGTATTCATGCTCATACTTTCAGACCTCACCATGGCAAGAAAGACCTGTAATAGTTTGCACTACTTCTTATAAGAGTCTTAAAGTGATTCTTCGGTATAACATTCTTGTGAAACAACAGTGACAGCAGAAATAGTGACATTTTGTATAATTAACCTAATGCTATAAAGATACTCCAAGAGATCTTGAATTTCTGTTTCTTGGCTTTGTTCACTGCACTAAAAGCAAAGCCCTCTTCTCAGGTAAAAAATAAAAATAAAAAAAAAAAAGAAGAGAGACACCATTCTTTAATTATAGAAATAATAGCTAGCTAATCTTTTTTGAGTGAATGCTGCAATATTTTTCCTAAAGAGATGCACTGTGGCTCTTTCACTGGAAACATATGAATGAGAGTCAGAAAAGCATCATACAGGTAAAAGAAGCCAGCTAATAGAAAAAAAAACCTCAAACCACTAACCTATCTTTTCTATCAGCTTGCTTTTCATTTTGCATTGGATAAAGAGAAACCTATCTACAATGGATTAATGCCCTGATCTAAATCATGCCAAGGAAGGAACTGCCTAATGAAAATCTGAGGATAAAATAAGAATGAGAAGCCACTTCCTCCCCGTTATAGACCTGGGAAGCTAGAACGCTGCAGAAATCAAAAGTAGCAAACTCAAAGGAAGTGTTAAAATACCATAATTTGTCTTCCTCACCCAACACACCTCAAAACATCCGTTTCATCAGTGCAATAAACTACACAAGCAGTTTCCTGCACTGCCCTGTATGCCAAATGTTACCACCATCTACAATGTAATCAGCCTCAAATCAGTAAATGCAAGGGCTGCTTCTCCCACACACTCTGTCGTTTAGCTGACAGAGTGGACAGCAATACGTGACCTGTGATGAAACCAGGGAACTCCACTCAGGACAGCCTAGCAAACACATTCCAGGCAGTTAAAAGAATAAACAAATACAAAACAAAACAAACCTATCCCATAACCTACAAGGTTTTCAGCGAGACTTAGGAAAACGCACAGCCTAATTCCTACCAATCTAGAGAGGTTTTCTATCTGGTTTGTAGCCAGCCCATGCAATAATGTAAACACTGCAAGGGATGCAAAACCTTACCCACAAGAACACATACTTCGTTTGACTCTCGGATCAAATCAGTGATGTCCACTTTTGGGTGGTCACTCTTCGTATCGCTGAGGTTGGCGCCCTGCTGCACAGCTGGAGGCAAAGGACTGTCTTTGTTGGTGACACTGTCAAAAAACCTGTGTGAAGGAAACACACGAGATATCAGCAGGAAGCAGATTATCACAACACAAGGACAACATCAGCATCTACTAAAGAAAAAGTGAGCAGAGAATGGAAAAAATAAAAGAATATCAGCATGAATAGCACCAATATGCTGTAACAATAGCACAGACACACAAACAAGGGAACTGGCTACCCGAAGAAGGTTGCAGAGCCTCTAGCCTTGGAGCTTTTAAGACCCAGCTAGGCAGTAACATGGCTGACGTGACCTAGCAGTAGTCTTTTCTGGAGTGGGAAGTTAGATTAGAGACCTCTCGAGCTCCCTTTCACTTGGCTTTCTCCTGGTTCTCTAATCCACCTAGCAGCAATGTACTACATAACTGGGAGAGAGAAATGGATGCTTAGGCTGAACTGCAACTGAGGCAATTTTAATTCCCTCAGATGCACAAACCAGGACATGCCTGATCTGCACTCTTCATCGCACCTACAAAACCAGACTAAACAGTTCCATCACAGAGGTTAACCAGTTCCTTTGCCAACACTGAGAAAGCAGAGAAAAACTTCTATGGAGTAATAGCTTCCTTTTTCTTGAGGCGAGGCAAACTACCGTCATTATTTTTTACAACCATCAGAATGCTGCAGGCTGGATTTACCGTGCAATGGAAGTGTTGCAGCCGGATAAAGTGTTGAAAGTCAGAGTTCACAAAGAGTTCACAATAGTCATCAAAAGCTTGAGTGTCAAGAGGAAGCTGCAGCTTGTTTGGTTCAAGTGAAAATTAAAATTTCACTGCTATTTTAAATTTTAATAAATTAGAAACTGGCTGAATGTGCTCTTATTGCTATTAAGTGCTAAAAATTTTAATGAGCACAGTTAGGTTTCACAATAAATATCAGGCTGCACGGCATCATAAAGTAAAAATTACATTTTCCTCATTAATTCCCATTAATTCCTCGTTTTCCTCATTAGTTCCTACCCCACTCAAACATGCAACATATGACAAAGATAAAGAGAAGATAGGATTTTCAGAGGAAATGACATATCTGTTTGAAATTACAGCAGCTGCTACACTGCCTGTAAGAACAGCAGTTACACTGATACCTGTTGAGCACAGTCACGGCCTCTGCATCATCCTTACAAGTCAGCAACTTCTCCATGTTGTATTCCAGCACTGCGAGACCCAGCTGCAAGATTGCCTTTATTCCATCATAGAAGAAACAGTCCACCACATTGACTGCACTTTCAATAGGCAGCACACTGATAAAAAGGGTAAGGAACCAGGAGAGAGAGACCGAGGAGAAAAAAGTCATGTCCGTCATGTGGTCTGTCAACTGAGGCAGATGAACCCTGATGAGCTCCTCAAACACTGCCTGATCTACCAAGGCACCTGCAGGGAGAGGATAACAAAACCACCACCCAAATCTTAATACACAGAAGCACAGTTTTCTCAGAGCACTGGCCAGAAACCTAGCCCCTATCCTAGTGCGACTTTGATGTAAAAACAAGCAGAGACCCAGCTGCATGGCACCACTGGCTCCGTTCGCTGTGCTGGAAGCTATGCACTCTATATCTGGGTCCAGAGGCTTGCACGTTGTAAAGTATATTAGCACCCGTGTGGGTGCATGGTTACTGCTAATGATTCTCCTGTCAGTCGATACACCCTCTCTGCAATGACAGAGAAACTTCACATGCAATTTTCTTCTAGCATTTAAAGCTGCAAGCATTGAGTACCAGATCAAAGACTAAGTCTGCTCCTGGAGTAACTCTGTTTCTTTTTATTTAAGCTGGGTAAATTACAATAAATAGTATGAACTGCAGTTACAATTCTGAAAGAAGTGTGTAATAGTCTACGTGACTACTTCACTACTTCCCTAGAATAATGACAATATTTGAAAGTCACATCCACACTCTCTTATGGAGGATCTTGGGATGTTCTGTTACTTCCATTTTCTGCTTTAAAATACTGAACCAAACACCACAGTTTCTCTGCACTGTTCAGGCTTCAGCTCATTCCTTACACTTGTTCTCACAGAATGATTGCTTATATTCAGTTCTAGACAGACCAAAAGATAGACTGATGTTACCAATGATTCGACGATTGAAATAATCGGGTAGCATCCTTTCACACACAGCAACCAACAGCCAGAATGCTTCTTCCTCTTTAGCATACAGCAGAAGTACTGATGTCAAAATGTTCATTGCCTGTAACATTTTAACAGGGAAGGAAACATTCACATGATAAGACAATGAAAAGAAAACCGTTTTGTCATTTGTTAGAGTTTATACTTCTGATGACATTTCACAGCATGTGTTCAGGGGTGTTGGGATAACCTACAGCCTTATCCAGTGTAGTATTTGTACCTCTACATCATCAAATACAGAGCATAGTATTTAAACTACATAAAAATATGTAAGTCATGCAGGGGGATGAAATAAGCAATGCAGGTGAACCACTGAGAAGGAAACTTTTACGTATTTCTGACTGATTTTTATGAGGTGCCACAATACTGATATGGTAAACTAATGTTCAGACAACCAATATTAAGATTCTCAAAACTGCTGTACCTGACAATATCCAATTTGGGGATTCCTGTAGGCATAAGCCGTCAGAACTCTCCTGAGTGCAGAAATTCCTGTGTCACTTTGAAAAGCAGGATGCTCAGGCAAGGAACGACGTAAATCTCGTTCGATTTCATCAGTAGCTAATGTGCATGTTCCTAAGGATTTTTCCACTAACTCGGTGTAATAACCAGGGTTGGATGCCATATCATTTACAGCACCTGCAAATAAGTGTTATTGCACAGCATTAGAGGGCAACAATAAAGTATGTACATAATTCTCTGCAATTTATACAAACATTTCTGGTGTTTACTAAGATATCTCCAGCTGCTATTGCAGTAATGTAACAGAGTAATTCTACTGTCATTAACACAATCACTATGAAATAAAAATAGAAAAGCAAAATAAAGTAAAGCCTGGAGTATATTTCTTTCCATATTCCAGACACTATCCATTATACAGTTGATTTTGACTTATTTTTTTTCCTGTTTCATTGCAGGGAAAAAGCAGCTTCCTTTCACCTACAATTTTGCTTAAGTTTTCAGGCAAATACTTTTCCTTTTGTAGAACTGGTGACAGATTAGAAAAAACTTGGCAACGGATTGATATTTACCTAATTCATTCCATAACTTTTTATGTCAACACAATCCAAGATAGAGATATCTGGTACCAGAAGCATACATGTCTACATAAACACTCAAAGAACACTAGCAAAGAAATCCACATTCACTTGTCCTCAAAAAGAACTACCATACAGCAGTATGCTGAATGAGTAGGTTAAAACATATTTGTTACAATAAACAGACCCTTTAGAACAGCAGAATGCTCTGCCCAGGGGAACACCATGAGTACAGGTAGTGGGAAAGGTCTCCTGAGAATCTGCAGCTCATTTTCTGAATCAACTCAGCTTACCTGTCAGTGGCTACCACCTTTGGAAGTGTTTAAGTGAATGGGAATAACAAGTGCACAGAAGTGCCTTCTAAGCACCTTTTAAAGCAATGCCTTAATTCCCCAGGCCTCCACTTCCTCACATTAAGTGCTCTGACACAGGTGTGTTCTACAGCAGAAAGCCACAAAAGTATACTCAGAGTTTTGGCAAGAGATCCCTTATGCGTATCAAAGTCCACAATTCCTGTACACTTCTCACTCTCAACCAAGCAACAGTGTATAACAAGGAGCTACCCATACTAGAGACAAATAGAAAACATTTTTTTTTTTTGCCTAGGAAAACTATCGTCTTGGAAAGATTACACCAAAACAATTGAAAAATGGTCCTGCAAGCTTGCTTTTCTTTTTAGCAAGTAAAGAGATGCTGCTGAAACTGATTGTCCCCTTGAACTCATAGTCTTACTATTTTTGAGTTTGTTGTAGAAGATGACACAGGTTTAGTTTGAATCAATGCAGAACAGAATAAATGTGTCTATTCTCTTGAAATCTTTTGAAATCTTTCTTCAGAAAGATTTAGATAAGTTGCCAGAGGAAATAAGTTGTTGTTTTTTTGTTTGTTTGGGCATACTACTGTCAGTAAGTAACTAGAACATCCATACAGCAGAGTCTACAAAATGAATCAATTATACTTGCTAGGCAATACCTGAGAACAGCAGCCAGAGCTCTCCTCGTAAGGCCTCCGGGATCCCTCTTACCACCAAGTCTCGAGTCTTCTTTGTTCGAAACATACTGACACCGTGTCCCCGCTCAACAAAGAGGATGTTCCAGGACTGTTCTTTCATTTTTTCTTTCAACTACAAAACGAAAAAAAAAAAAAACGACTACTAAGTAAACCGGAAGATTCTCTCATGTTTGATATCTGAAATGAATGCTGATGCTGATCAGAGCAAAAACGTAATCCATGCATAGTTTAAGTCTGGGATACAATTGAATCTCCTACATAACCATTCTTTAAAGTATTCTTACAAGAATATTTTACATTCTTAATTCTTACAAGAATTTCTATACCAGACCAGACAAAAGGTAAACCTAATCCAGTATTCCATCTGACAAGAACCAACAGTAAGTGCCAAAGGACAGCAAAGTCAGTCAAAATATCCACAAATTCCTCCTCCATTCTGCAACAAATTGAGGTGCAGGCACGACCTCAATAGAGGCAACCTCTCTGAAATTAACAACACAAAAATCCACAGCAGGTTTTATCCCTGCAAACTGCTTTCTGAACTCGGATAAATCTGCGTTCTTCTAACTTCAGTTAAGGACTCCTAGCTGATGTATTAGGATACCAAGCAATCAACCCCTTTCACCTTCAGGTCACTTGAAAGTTACACTTTTTCTTTACTTCCCACTTGAATAAATAAAGGGTAATAAATGTAAGTAAACTGGATTTTCAAACAAATAAGCAAATTCACATTTAATGATTCTTTTGGCAGAAAAACAGAGGTACTTGTAAGATTCTTTGTCAGCTCTTTCCATGTAAATATACGTATGTTTATATGATATACAAACACACACACAAATCTGATTACAACTTGGGCCAATTTTAAAGTACCCTTATACTCCATTTTTTATTCATGCTTTATCATAAACAGCATAAAATTTTATTGGTAAAGAGCAAGTTGATAGAATAAGGAAAAAAAGACAGAACTGAGAGAAAGCAGTAGAAAGACAACCAAGAAAAATAGGGAGAAGGTTCAGATCATTTGTGTGGTTCCAGTTTTCTCTGTGCTAATTTGAGAGCTCTAACAAACAAGCTATGAGAAAAGCATCTGGCCATGATGGCACAAGGTAGTTAAGCATATGATTATTTGCAAGATGAAATCATACTGTCACAGATACCTGCTTAGTTATTCAGATGAAGTAACATACCATGACTTCAATGTGTTTATGAATTGTTCTTGCTAACAGCAATAAAAATGTAGTAACACTGACACAGATGAGATAATATCCCATGGAAGCTCAACAGGCAAAACAGGCTACTCTCCTTTTGTCTGATTCATCACGCTTTGTTGCATTACACCAGTTAACAGATTTGGAATGGAGTGCATACAAATGGTGGAAAGCAGAGAGGGATGACATGGCATCAGTGTCATTTGTTTTGCCACAGTTTCTAAATCTCTCCTCAGTTTATCTGCATGAACTCCACATAGCAACTGGAGAGAATCAATAATCAGGGAAAACTGCAGGAGAATGAAGTCTATTTGGATTAAGGAGGGGAACTAATAGCTGAAAACCCCCTATCGGTTTAACATTTAATCAGATATTTATCGACTAGAGAGAACATTTTACAAAATAGCAATTACTGTCAAAACACAAAACAACTGTGTGTGCATCTGAACTTAGTAGGACCAGCCACGTATGTAAAACCTGCTTCAGAGGGAAAACTAGCAAGAATTCCCTACTCAAACATAACTGAAGTAAGAGGCATTTACCTGCAGAGTAGAGGGAGGTAGAAAGTTTCATTGGCAGCAGTGAAACAGGTCCTTTGTGAGGTATAAGGCTTCTAATAAACTATTGATTATGCACCTAAAAAAGCAATTCAATTTCTCTGAAGCAAAGCCAACTGACAATCGGGTGTTGCATCCCATGAGATGCTTCAGCGCTAGAGACAGGGTGAACACTGCCACTATGTTTTCTACACATGCAGCAGTAAGATTTAATATTGCTAAAGCAATTCAAGGTGATCTGCAGAAAGGAAAAGTAGATTTTGCCCACTTCTGTTCATTGTGCTATAAAAAGCAGAACTTAAAAACCTGTATTGCTTTCATCCCTGCCAAAGGGGTGTTTATTTTCTGGTATCATAAATTCCATATCTGAATTTACCCTATTTTGCTGAAAGACTAATTTTAAAATAAAAATTGTCTTGTTGCACACATTTTGGAGAATCAAAATGAGTACATCTTACTGAAAAAATAATAATTAAAAAAAAAATCTCCAGAGCATAACTTTGTTACAAAGAAGTACAAAAAGAATGAAGCAATGAAGAAATGAAGTCAATTTCCTGATAACATTCTCCTTGTTCCCAAAGCATTTGTAGTGACTTTCTACCTTGACAATTCAGAAAGATATGAAATATGTTAGCTATCACAAAACAAACAGCCAACTCTTCCCTGAGGGGCTGGAAGAGCAAGAGGAATTAGCTCCATGAAGATAAGACATATCATTATTAAAAAAGATGAGCAGAAAATTGAATGGAGCCATGAAGAAGCACCCTGTGGACTCAAAATACAGAACATGCAGATGAAAGAAGATTGGCAAAGCCCCAGAGGAAATCAGAAGCCTTGCTGGAGTACATTTGGAATATACTTAACTCCTTTCCAATTAGGTTCCAAAGCCTGTTGGCCATTTTTATCCCTTACCATTTTAGAGTCTAGATTCTCAGCATCCTGAGGATGGTAGACAGTCATTAGGGCTTCTGTACTGACGGTTTTGCTGGTATCTCTCTGACCCGTCTTTGCTGGTAACTCATCAAAATCCTTTGGACTATCAGAGGCAGAACTAGTTGCAACCTTCATAAATAAATAAACAAACAAAAAATTAACAAATGGTAGTTATAAATGCCAAACAATCCTTCAAGAAGCAGTACTGATCGCAGAAACTGTTTTTGTTTCTAGACTACCTTTGTTAATGATATTAATTTACCACTACCAGGCACAGTTTTAAAATTTAGACTTGCATAGGATTCATATATGCATGAACAAACTTCCAAAATAAATGAGAACCAGCAGTCCCTGTTCTGCACAGCCAGGCTATCAGGAGGCTCCACTTGAAAAATCCATCTCTACAGCCAAGAACTTAATTATAAAGGACAAAAACTCATTATGAAAATTATAATAGACAGGGAGGCCGGACCATCAAGTAAAATAACACATTAATTTAAATGGAGCCATATAGAACTATACAGAAATGCTAAGAGCATTTCAAAAACGGCATTAGAACCTGGATTGTTTTTCAAAACCTGATAGAAAATAAAGCCAAAGAATCCAAAACATAATGTAACATTATTGTTCAACACATTCTCGTTTCACATGGGCACTGACTGAGTTATTTGTTTTTCCTCACCTTAAAACCAAAGCTACACAACTCATTTCACTATGCCAAAACAATGCAAATATTACCCAAAAGAAGGTGGTCTGAAGGGGAATGCCCTTGAGAAGCAGACCTTACCACTCAGGTCTCTCAGGGTTGTGCTACATGTACCCTTGCTAGCTGAACATTTCTGCTGATATCAAACTATTTTGCTTTTATTACTCCACTTGCATCTACTAACTCATAAGACGCAAAAAATTAAAGTAGAGACTTTGCTGAGACACTGATCCTTTTCTTACAGCCATCATTTTAGACACTACTCCAGCTAATTACATTTTTCTCAAGAGAAAACCTTCATGGAAGAGATACAGAAACTGTAATGAGTAATGCTTGCTTGGGCTGTTTTGTCATTGTTTTCTTATTTCTTATGCATGAAACTACACACAGCTTTCCTCACATCCAGAAGCACACTTACAATTATTCCATCATCTTTCTGACTCAAAGAGTCAGCTGACAAAAACAGAGCAAAACATATTTTTATATCACTCTTTATATCAGACTTTTTTTTTTTTTTTACATCAGACTTCAATGTGAAGGGTCTGAAAGCAAGAAATGGAAACGTGATTTAAAAAAAATAGAAAAAGACAACCTGTAATCTAGAGGTGAAGCAGACAATGTAAGACTAGAAAACCTAATTCCTAGGAATAGGTAATAAGAAATTAGAATTCGGTGAACAGTTACCTCTGTACTTATGATATGCTGTGGATTTGAAGTTGCATTGCATTTGATTTGGAGCTTTGTGACAAGCTGTTCGAAATCTTTAACCTCAGTGAAACGAAAAGCTCTTTTTCCTTTGGTACTAATGCTGACTCCTCTGTTGGCTGGATCAGCCTTATCCACCCCTATGACCTACGGAGGCAAGGATATATTAATTATGCAACTCATCTCAACAAATTGCTTCTAAAAGAAAAAAAATTAAAAACATAGACATACATGAAACAGTAGTATGACAACAGTAGCACCATACAAATAGAATTAGTCATGCAAGTAACTTACTACTTTACAGCTCAGTGGTTTAGAGCTATTTTAATACAAGGCAATAGGATTTGTGATAGTTTTTCTACAGAGTACCAAAAAAAAAAAAAAATCTTTGAAAGGGTTCTCTCAGCTGTAAGTACGGTATGTATCTGAATATCTTCCCTCCTTCTATCTGCTGGAGCTGTTACGTTCTTTTCTTACCATCCAAAAACAGACAAAACCTGGCTCTTGCAAGTAATCAAACAAATCAAGTTTCACAAGAAGGAATTTCCACTGAGAATACCCTTTCAATGACAGCTGTCGTAACATGACAGTTGGAGCTGCTTTTAATTGCCACAATGGAACAGTTACAGATTAGAGCAGTTAATACACTTTAATAATGCACGTTCTTACAAGACAACAGTGAATAGTTGGAGTGGCTGTCATTGCTGATGCTTTTACATTGTTGAAAGCAAAGAATGAAAGACTGCTGAAACAAAACAACTCTGCAGTACCTGACAATCTGCATGAGAGCATTTAGAGTCAGATCCTTTAACACAGTCTCTTCTGTGTTTTTTTTTGTTTTGTTTTGTTTTTTACAGCTTATACAAGTCACTATTGTTTGCAAGACTATTTACAGAAGATCAAATAAAGTCCCTTGTTTGGGTGGGGAACACCGAATGCATTGCTGAAATCAGCTCCGTTCACTGCACTGTCGGGTGTCTCACATAGGCGTTGTGTACACAGAGCATACAGAGCAATTACAGAGCCTGGTTAATTTTTAAGCTATTGTATTACAAGTCCAGGTGCTGCTGAAAGGCTTCCAACACCAAAAGACTGAAATGTGGCAATCACATGAGATGTCCTGGATCACATGAAGTTAGCACAGGGATGAAGGGTTTTTCCCCTAGACTTTATTCCATGGGCTAGCTACAGTACTCTACAGAATACTCTGAATGCTGTGCCCTTGACAATATGGTCCTTATTCAGTCTGTTGAGACTACCAGCTGTAACAGTGTTGGTATTTGCTCACTGAAGACTGTCAATGGATTTTCCTAGACGTTTGAATAGATGGCACTGCTCTACTATGGCAAAGAGGTGAATGGCACCACAGAGGCAAGAAAATAACATGGCAGAACAATCGTCTTCAAGATCTACCCTCTTCAATCCTTTACTTTCTATCTTGAGAATCTCCCCTTAAATCAGCCTCAAGAATTAAGCATGGGCTTTTATTTTACAAAAAAGTATTTAAAAAATTGGATTCTGTATTCTTCTACAGAAATCAGAATAATTATGGAAAAGGCAAAAAAGACACAGGGGACAGTGCTGGAACATGAAAGCAGTTCTATAACCAGTATTGCTAATATGTACTATCCAAGGTAAGGAGAAATTATGACATCATATAAACTAAACAGATTGTAACAAAAATCTGCTAAATTGGCATTAAACTACGCAAATGCAAATCGTCTGGTAAAGCAGGCTCTGACTGTAGTTTCCATTACCTCTCTTAATGGAATGATTACACTGCACAGGCTGCCATCCTGGCTAGCAAAGCAGATGTAGTTTTCTGAAATGCACATTTTCCCGTGGGTGTTGTAATGAGTGAAAGGAACCCGTAAGAAGCACTCATGAACTTCCTTCAAAGTTTCTTCTTTGGGTAGCCTGAAGAATGCACTAAACTGCTCACTGTGGGCTCGGCTCTCTAGGCCTCTAGATTAAAAAGAAAAAAAAAAAACACAAAGAGGAAAAAAGAGAAAAAAAAAAAGACATATATTTAAATGACCTTACAAAAAAAGAAAGTTAAAATACCTTGGGAAAAGGCTATGTAAGCATCATGCTCTCCCATAATCTGTGGTGTTCATCTGGAGGGCTCAGCATTTTGCCTAAAGATGCAACAAAATGTAGGACCAAACCTGTATACACTCACTTAACAAAATACTTAAATGCTTCACTAAACAGGAATAGATTCAAGCATGCTCTTACACAGAGAAGCACTTTGCTGAATCAGGACCTAAACATGATGGAGAAAACAAACAACAACAACAACAAAAAAAACATATTATTAGCCTAATCCTGCTCTGTTTCCCAACCCATCAAAATAATCCATTTAAACCTAAAACAAGTTTTTGCTTGACAGAGGGCCAATTAGCTAGAAATGTAGCACATGTTGTAGACATCTGCCATGGAAAAATTCTTCACAGATAACTGCAACCACAATCAACATTTTGGTCACAGAGCACCATCTCTCTCCAGCATTGCTACCAAATTGAGGTATTAATTACCCAGGAAATACAACCTAGAACAGGTTTTATTTACTATACAATTAAAGACTTGGCTTTTTTCCCTCCTTTCCCTTTTACATTGCAGTTGCGAGGGGCTTTAACTAGGAACAAGTAAAATGGAGTTACTGGAAATCAGGTTCTGACTGAAATTTATTAGAAAAATGCTTTATCATATTTTCTATTTGTATGGATAACATTTTCAACAAAGTCCCCTCATGTGAATTTAAATTACATAACAATAGACTTGCTTTTCCTGGCTGCTTTTCACAGTAACTAGCAGATCATCACTTCAACATCTGAGTGAGAATTTGAATAATTCTTTGAGTAGACAACATTTGCTTCTACAGAAACTAGACCTCAAATTGTACAACATGAAACAACCACACATCTTGCTTGAGAAGGAAGGACTCTAACCATCCGGTTATTGACATACACATCTTTTCCACTGCCTAAAACACTGCCATAAACAAGGAAAGCCACGCACCCATCTATAACTCACCAATTTTATCACCTATATCCTGTAGCAGAAAGGCCATGCAGTTATTACCTACATATGTGTATTTAATCATTTATTCTCCACCTTCTCCTTCCTCATCAGGAAACTAGCTAGAAAATCAAGAATGGAACTGCAGTGTCTATTTCTAGATGCTTCTAAAATGCCTTTTAAAAACTTCAACTACTGTAAACTGTATAAAAGGAGCCCAGTTCTGAAGGTTTAATCAGTTCCTGCTACTGCAAAGTAATAAGTTATAATGCCTCACATTACTTTGATCCCAATTTTTAACAAGATACTTGTTTAAGAGCTTTGCCAACATTTATTTATCTCCCCGAGGCAAGGATTCTCCTCCCGTTTGTCTTAAAAAAGCACTGGGCCCAGAGCAGACAGACTACGTTACCTCTTGGTGATCTGCAGGGGGTCATGAAGGACTAGGTCATTTTCAAATGTCTCTTTGTCAAAAAGCCTCCTAACAGCATAGTTTGCCAGCTGCTCCATGAGAAGGAATGTTTCATTAATGTGCAAAAACATGGAAAAATAGTGATCTTCCCCACGGGAGCAGACATGAATGCTCTCTGTCAGGATAACATTGGAAGTCTTCTCAAGCTTTGATATTTCATCCCAGGAGATAATAAGTTTTACTGAAAATACAAATATAGGCAGATCTGAGTAACTTCTCTTTAGTTTCTATCTATTAAACAAAGAACAGTGGTAGTCAACAGCACTAATAAAGTACAATTAAGCAACACAGTTAAATAATAACTCATTTGGAAAGGGCTACAAATTCACAAGGCCAAAAAAAAATAAAGATTTCCCTCACAATTGCTATAAAACAATACAATTAGAAAGACTCTCGTAGAAATAAAAACACTAAAGACACACCACTCTTTGGTGTGAATCATTCTTTGGTGCCTTATTTGTGAATCTAACAGAGGGGAAAAAAACAGGCATTTTGAAGTATGTTTCATAAATGTATTTATTTCCCTACATTATTTGTTTGTGTTTTTTTCTATTCTGTGATAACATCTATTCACATGGCAAAATAGTTTACTCAGAATATAAGATTACTGTAAATCTGAAAGATACATAGCAAAACATAAAGGGACTAAGCTTAGCATCCAGGCTCACTTACTTTCTGCTCCCAGCAAAAATGAGTAAAAGCTAAGGAAGTTGGTACTGAGATACAGCCATCCTTGACAAGGCACTCTGCCCTTCCAGTAGCTGCACGAGTAATAGGTAACCAACTTCTCCTGCTCTGGTAATCCAAAACACCTTTCAAACTTCATAAGACCCTCACGAAACTTCTCAGGATCTTCTTCTTTTACAAAAGAACCTTTTCCCTCTTCAGCAATCAAACCCTAAAACAAAAGAACCAGTTACTTTATATGTGTCCACATAGGTGAGTGTCATATATGCACCTGCATACATACAATGGAGTATTCTTATAGCAAATTTAGGAACTGCAAAAATAGTTTGAGAATCAAAACACAAGGTTATAAATCAAATGTGCTATTTCAGACATATACAATGAGTTTCCCCACACAACTTAGGTACAAAATACACAATCTGAAAATAATGTATTTTCCTTACTTAATCACAAGAATTCCTAAGCTAAACATTTAGTATATGCAAAGTGAAGCATTGTACCTCAAAAAAAACAAACAAACAAACAAAAAAAAAATCCCATATGCTTCCTAGGCATTATGAAAATTATTGTGATGTATCATCAGTTTCAGACCACTATCTAAAGGCATCTGCTGTATCATTTACCAAAAAGAAATAATCTATGTCCAGCAGATAAACAGTAACAGAGCACGTTGAAGTTAACAGCCACATACTTCCCACTCAGAAGTATACAACATTATGGTGCTGTCCTTTGATATTCTATAGGGAACATACTATTTGTGAACATTTAGAGGGAAAAAATACTTAGCCTTTCCTAATTGTGGTGCATGCCTGTTACTTACTCTTATCTTTCCCTGGACAAAGCTCGTAATATCTTCATTTGAATCAAATACTGATAAAGTGTTCATAACATTGTTTTCTAACCAGTCCCAGTGTTCTGTTATCTCTTCTCTGCTGGCTCCTGAAAGAGAAAATTAGTATTAACAAAAATTAGAAGAGACTTCAATAAGTTTATTCACAATAATAATCAACAGAATACTCAGTGTATTCCAGGTTCACAGAGTAACGTAGATAGATGAGTTCAAATCCTAAGTCACAAACCTACCACTGAACTCTTTTGTACAGCAAAAATGTATATGGTATACGTTAAAAAAGCACAGTCATGTTTTTATTTTTCATGCTCTTTATACAGCTATATTTCTAGCCCTGACATCCAGAGGCATCTCAGCTTTGTCAACATTTTGTGGCTCAGTGCTGAAGCCTGACTTGGACTGAGAGTTCCTTAGCTCAGCAGTCCCTCAGAGCATCTTTAGCACGCTCCCAGTTCAGTAACTAGGACACTCCCCTAGAAGGTGGGAAACATGAGACCAAATTCATGAGAACTTCAAGACTTGGTCTTTCTGTAGTGCAAAAACCCTTCTGAGAAGTGTAAGGATGTAAAGGCTGTATCACTGTGACCAGGACGGTAGCAGAGCATTCTCTTTGGATACATGAAACAACCATTTATGTTGCCTACCACAAACAATTACTAGTTAGTTGTGCTCAATGTAAGTAATGGTTTTATCTCATTTTCTATCAAGCCATATTTTTATTATATTTCTATCACACTAAAATATAAGCAACCATCATTCAGGAAACACTTGTCATTCTATTTACAGCCAAGTTCTATTTGTGTCATAATTCCAAATAACTTGATGTTTTCATGCAATTAAAGGGTTCTGCAAGAGGACAGAAGCACAGCTACATCCCAGATGGAAGATCTGGTATCAGGAACCAGGAAAAAAAACCAAAAACTCGTCTATTCATACAAGATGAATAATCCTTGAAATGTTTTTTTGCACCTCCAAAATTAGCAGTGTTTCTCTTCTGAACCCTCTGGGACTCCAACACACAGGAATAAGGAATGTTTTCTTCCCTGTCATTACACACATGCAAGGGGAGCAGTATCATAAAAAATCTGTCATCACTAACCATAAGGAATGTACAAACCATAGCCAAGATAAAATTCAATGTTCCAAGAATATAAATACTGCGTTATCAAACATCTTAGAGAGAAGCCGACTTTATTACAGTTACTTTATTCACTTTATAGTGCTTTTAATCTAGGTTTCAGATAGCAATCGCTTACCATATGTCACTGCAATTTCATAGCAAAGAAAACCTGTCTCACCCGAACTTCCCAGAAATAGATTCGTGGTTTGCTTCAAATACAAAGGGAAACTCTTACCTACTAGATACTTTTACGATCTGTGAAATATTTATGATAATTCATCTTACTCTTTTCACTAACTCATATACAAGTTATGGAAGTGTTAACAGGCAGTAAAGCAAAGCTTGTGCTAGTGAAACAACCTTTGTGGTCCTGCAAATTCAACAGTGTCAATTCCTTAGAAACAGGAGGTAGTTTCCATCCCATCAGATGGTCGGAAACAGGAAGAAAAAAACAGATGGAAAGAATTTATATAGGATTGAATAAAGGGAATCTAGAATATAAGTAAGTTGGTTATTTTATCCTTCACAGGAATGCTCACAAATAAAGCCAGTACAATTGCATACTATCAATACCCCTAAGTAAGAATGCAGAATTAACTATTTCTATTTTCTCAATTTACTTTGTAAAGACTAATTGAACAATTTTCAGTGGACTCCACAGAATTAAGGCTGCTATGGGAATGAACAGAAATTGTTCTAAATACAGTTAAATAGACTGTGCTACATATGCTGGATTTGCAATCACAAAGAAATGATATAAAGAGTAATTAACACAGCAATGAATTCAAAAGCTCATTATTTTTCTCAGACTACACATGTGGAGCAATTATTTGAGTCAGAACAAGAATCAGAGGAACAGATGTGACACAATAAAGATGAAATTTTTAATAAACATTTAAATGCTTTAGGAGCACCATTTCAGACCCTTAACATGTAAAAGCAGGAAAGAAATGTAATCTCTTCAATTTATTCACTTCACAGAAGGAATAACCTGCTTTCTAACACCAAGTACAATTACATTATGTAGCCTTTTGTTCTAAAGTATACTTACGTAGAATAGAATTTATATAAATCCATTTCTAAAGTGAAGACTACACTTAATATTTTCCCAGGGGTCTTACATGATGCTGTTAGAATTCCCTACAGTATATTTCCAATGTACTTATCGAAGTATTTTTTTTAATAGCCTGTCACCATTAGTTCTGACTTCAGAAGAAGCCAGAAATTTTTATTTACTGCCAATTCACAAACTGTTCAAATTCTATCAACTTTAATATGCTGCCCCTTTTAAGTGACATGTACTGAGTTCTATTAAATTGTTATTAAGCAGTACTTTCACCAACTACTGCCCTTAAGATAAGTCCTTGCAGAACAAGAACAGATTAGCATTACAGCATGAAATGCATAAACTACTGAACTACACATCTAAAAGGATAAATCTGTATTTTGAAAGTAGCTAACTTTATAAAAAAAAAGATAGGAAAAGGCACATTTTCTCATTTAAGGTGAAGAAACAAAGATTTATAATAAAAGGATAGCAGCAAAATCCAATGTGACAATAGCATTACACTTACTAGTAGAATTATGTATGTACGTACATGTTTGCAGAACAGCACCTCCAAATTTTCCTACAAAGTTCATCTTTCACCACAGGCAACTAAAAAGAAGGCCTGAAGACCAGTGAAATCTAAATGGCGTGGTTTTGTTTTTGTTTTTTTAAAGAACACAAATATTTTTTTTTTAAATGAAAGCTACAAAAAAATGAATATATATATATATATTAACTCCAATTCTATGTATTTTCAGAGTTTTCGATAAGCCTAGGAAATAGATTAATTGTGACATTTACCATCAGATCATATGACTATTTTACTTTCAATGTAAAGACAAGACCATGCTAAGGAAGAAAAAACAATGATGCATGCAAAGAATTAAGCGTCCTCTCAGCTTGTGGAACGAAAGTCTGTCTGGAGACTTACTATTTAAGCAGCCTGTATAAAGACTTTATTCTCAAGGGAAGCTGCAATATTAAAATAAAAAATACACACACTAGCAATAAGGATGCTTTATGAAAAATCATATACTCTGCAGTCAAGGTCAATTTTCTTTTCCATTTCTTACTGCTTAATAACATAGCATAAAGAGAAAGAACTTCTTGCACTGAGAGCAGCAGATATGAGGAAGATTTCAGCTGCTACCACGACTGGGAACCCAGCTCATTTTTACAAACAAAGATAAAGTAGAAAAAAATCCAGATAAGCTATTCTTGTTATTCATACCTACAGCACGCTTAGTACTCTCAAGTGTCAACTTATCCATATCATCCTGAACTGTGCCAAGTTACAGAGCTCCATCGCAGCTTACAAACTAAAAGACTGTGGCTCTGTTATTCTAAGAAAGCACCAAAGCAGTTTCTCGGTACTTCACAGACTGCTGCAGAAAACAGGCAATCTGACATTATGATACGAAGATATATTCTGAAAAACTGGAACCATAAACTGCTGACAATCTCGTTTCCAATCTCCTGAGCAACACTCTATCATTACTAAATACTTTTAAACCATTTAGATGCCATTGGAATGAATAATGATGTGAGAGAATTAACCCAACACAAAAATTGAGACCATTCTTTGTACCATGATTTTTCACTTTACAAACTCACTTCTAACTAATAATACACACCACATGCGATGGACCAGTAGACTTGCGAGTCTGGTGTCTGATGCAGGATGCGAAAAGGAGCCACTTTGGATGTCGAATCCAGCACTGCATCTAGCGTTCCCACAAGAAGACCTGTAACATTTAACAAAACATACACAGCCTGGTGAAACTAAGGTCTTGAAATGCACTCACCTTCTGTCTCCTTTCTTAGTGAACAGGAGTGCTACCCCACTGACGAGTTATTCTCTAATAAACTCTGAGAAATTAAGAAACACAAATGAATAAAGCCAAAGTGCTCCTAGAGGAACCTTGTTGCGAGGTGATGATACATTCATCCAGCAAAAGCCATTATAAACACAACCTGAGGATGAAGAAGGTCTGGAGATGACACCCATGGAAGTATGGAATAGCCACACAGCAAGGCAAACCAGAGAGTAACCTGAAAAGGAACGTGGTAGTTCCCAGCCTTTAATAAGAACAAGCAGTAATTGAACTACCTCGTAATTAGTCATTTACTGTTGTTCTGTTTTATGGAGAAAGGAAACAGTTCTCAGAAAACCGCAATTCCATTTTGTCTGATTTATAAAAATCCCACCCATTGTTTTTACACGAGAAAAACCTATCATACGTTCTGTACCTACAGAAGTTTTGCTGCTCATTCCATCCTCTAAGTACTGCCCTACAAAATGCCTGCCATTCTTTATCAACACTCTATCAGAGGACTCCTACACTCAGTACGGAACACTAAGATTTCATCCGACTATCCCATGCATCAGTATATTTCATAAGGCACATATTCCATTATACATTATAATGCCAGATATAATGGCCATGTCACCTCCTTTCCACTAGAGATTGAATTAGCTCCTATTAAGCCCAGCTCAGATCAAAATATAGTAATTCCATTAATGAGACACACTTCAACTCTCACGACAAATGAGATACTCTCTTTCAAAAAAATTTCCTGAGAAAATGAGTATGCATTTTAGCTTGGCAGCCAAAATCATTCTTTCTGCTCAGTAATAAAAGTGTTAGGCAGCTCAGAGACCTTAACAGTTGATTTTAAATCTAAGGATCAGAGAATTCCAAAAGGAGAAAAAAAATCCATACAGAAAAAAATGTAAGCTTTTGCATCCTGATGCTCAAGTATTTTCATAAAAAGAAGTTTTACAAGTGACAAAAACATGGGCAATGTAATCTTATGCTTCCTTCCTGTATTTCCTATGCTTGGCGTCCTTCTAGCATCGCCGCCTAAATGGAAGGTTCAAATAAAGCAATGCTGCCACAGAAATCACACACAGCCTTTAATCTCCTAAAGAAGAAGTGAAAAGTAAGGCCTGCAAGTGAGGCAGCTACCCAAAGAGATGCTGTAAAGTGGATCATGGATGCAGAACCTTTCATTGAGAGTTGCTATTAGGGTAGAGAGCTTGTTTGCAAAGTTAGTACATCCCTTTATGGCTCCTCTAGGTATCCTTCCATGCGAACTGAAAGTTATCTTCTGATTCAGGCTTTAATATGCTATGGAAGCATTAGATTTAGATTATTACAACTGCGTCTCTCAAAAGTGATTTCAGAATTTTTAGGCTGGCTTCTGGTACCTTTCATTCCACTTTCCTGCCATTAATCCCATCTCAAGTGATGGGGAGGGTATTAAGGTATATAAGGGAGGGAGGATATATACGATATGAACTGTGGGAATACAAGGAAGCAAAGTAAGGCAAAATTGAGAAATCTAGGCAGTCATCCTCAGAACATGTTTCCTAAGGATTCATTTTCAGTACAGAGCCTGTGTGACATATCTCCCTGTGGCTATTCAAGTTGCAGAATGATTTTCCTTCTCTTAAAAAAAAAAAAAAAAAAAAAGTGAATGAATAATAATAAAAAAAAGCACAGAAAACCCACAGGCCAGTAAATTTGATCAAAAATACCAGCTTGTAGTGTCTGCAGTTCATAGCTTGTAACTTACTACAGTTAGTAGCATTTATTGTAGTTTCTAACTGAAGTCAGACATTGACTGGATAACATTCAGATCTGTATAAAGACCTTTGCCTTTCTGAATGAGTCAGAACACTGAGCTCATCTCAAAGATGGCTGTGCTTTAGCAGCTACTTTATCATCTTTTACAATTTTCCTGATTTAATTTTTGTACCAGGATATTAGTCACCATTTATGAGGTCGATGCAAGTGCTGAGCTTGAGCGAATGCTCACGACAGCGCACCAGAGAGCGGCACTCCTCACTGCGCCCTAAGTTCCCATCTGTGGGAAGGAAGGTTGTTAGATTTGGACACAAACAGCTGCACCAGGCTGGGACCGGTCATTTCTGCAGGTACGCTAGTCGATGCTGCTTCGTCCACGATACAGACCACAGGTTTGTGCTTCAGCTGATAACTACTCGGTACATTATGAGCTAATTTCACAGCTATGGGCACTGGCATAATTGCAAGGAACTGGCAGTTCCTTCTTCTTACCCCAGCCCTGAATGTGCTCTAAGTACGAGCTGTGAACTTTTCTGAATACTGTACTGTCAGTCAGGGTTTCTGTAACTGCAAGTTGTTGGGCAGTAAGCATCAGAGGAAGCACTCTCTTTATTTGCTATTTCCCGTGGGAAATCAAGAACCATGTCCACGCAGGCAAGCATGACCAATGCTGAGCGGCTTGCTGGCACTCTGCTGACCCCATTCTCACCAGCTTGCTGAGGAATGATTCATTTCCAAGGTTGCATACAAGAAAAGATTTAAGTCACCTGTACAATGACAAAGATATTAATTGTAACATAAAGGAACAGAAAACAAGAGAATCAGCAGCTGCTCAGCCCAGATACTAGCATTATCTCCATGAGGGATGCAAGGGGAAAAATCAGGCCCTATTTGCCAATTCCTTGCTAATGAAATGCAGCATACATTGTTCTCTAACAAAAACCTTCAGAAGGTCATCTACACTCCCACCTCTGCTCTAAGCTAGACCTGCAGTGTCCAGAGGTGATTTCACCCACATCATCCTCTAGCCTCACGCAGGGAAGAACTTCAGCTCTAGATATGGAAGGTGATGCACATTCACAAGGAGAAAAGGTTCTGCTTTCGGAAAACATTTTCGATTTCAGAGTTCCTCGTGTAAAACCATTACGAAATACCCTGGATACTTAAATAAATGGGGTAAAACACCCTACAAAATAATAAAAAAGGGCAAGGAAAATAGAATACCTTTGAAATACGGAAGCATTCCTTTCAAAAGTTTCTATAATACTCAGTTGACAGCATATGAACATTAGCTAATGGAATATCAGCAAATAGAAAGAGTCTCGGTAGTCCAAAGCAAACCTTCAGAGCCAAGTGCAGATGGTTCAGGGGTACAGTGAAGCAATGTACCAGAGCAGCAGCTCACGCAGCCTGTTTCCTATTATTTTCCTGCAGTGGCATGTACCAAAGCATATTAGCAATGAATTCTGCTCTCAGTTGTACCAATTTACAGCAATAAAGCCAATATACATGAAAATAACTGGCTGGCATTTCGCAGTTTGGGAGCAACACTGCCTTGTTCTTCGGTATTTATTTCACCAAGTACATCAAGAGAGTACTACTGTTTGCTTTTCCTAAAAAGAGTGCTATTGTTCTGAAGCAAAGTTAGCACAAGCCTGTTTTCTCCTCTGCCGCCTAACAGCACCTCTGAGGTCAATAATTAATGATATTAGAAGTGGATCAGCCCGTCTCCTGATTTACTACATTACTAGTGTTACTGGACATGAAATATTTATGAGTAAGAGTTCCTTACAAACAGAGATACTCTGTTAGCACAACACTGGCCAGCCCCATATCCCTAAGGACTTTGAACAGCAGATACTTCCACGTACTGCCAAGTACTCACTCTTTATTTACATTGACATAACAAGGAGAAATGCTAGAAGTTGAGCAGGATGTCTGTATGATCCTGAGGTACCCGAACAGACTCGGTGGATCCCTCCCTGCAAGGGCACCTCACAGCAAGGAAGCCTGGAGCAACCTTAAAAGGGTTTTAAACAGCCACCTCCTGAAAACTAAAGTCTGTACATTTAGAAGAAATACAAACACGAGTAAAAATCAATGAACTTTACAGGATTTTTTTATGTTGGTTTTGTATCACAAAGTCAACCTGTTAGTAACTTGTGAATTAAAAAGGAAAATAAAACTGGAAGGCAATGCAATACCTAGACACAGCTGCAAGGAGTAACATCAACAAGAAATATACAAAGTATGTGAAATATACAGATTTACTACAAAACTGATACCCGTTGCCCAGATACATGAAGACGAATTCAAGTATGCCAACTACAATTTAAGCGGACTATATTCTTTGAGAAATCCCTCTTAAAAACCAGAAGGTGCAGATCTGTAGAAAGCAAAGCTTTCAGAGCAGCACAGCACACCTTCTGCAAGGTCCCCAGGGGGAGTATCGGGGAAAAACATACATCAGGAGTGAGCTGTTGCCAAATTACAACACAGGAGACCCAAACTGCAAAGTCCTACTACTAGAAATACTTGCTTACAAAAGAAGGATAAAGCTTCATTCCAGGGTGGCAAACAGAGCACTCTGGCTCAGGAAATAAATAAGTAAAGGTCCAGCTTTCACTAAACAAACTAGACACAAATATAAGCCATGAAAAGCCATTGACTTGATATATTTGATTTAAAACACATGAATGCCAACTTGATAGTAAGGCCCTCTTTCCCATTTCTTTAAATTAAGCACAGAATTCTCTTTATTATTATTATTATTATTTTATTTCCTAAAGGAACTTGGTCTCATGACCAAGAAACCTCAGCTTAACGCAATGCTGAGCCTGGGCTGTAATGCAAATGTTCTTAGGTAACTGAGATGTCAAACAGGTTAGTTTAAGCCTGCAGTGAAAAAGATTTCATCTCTGTTTACAATAACTCACGTACATCATGGTCAGCGGATGGCTCAGGTAAGACAATGGTAACTCATTAAACTAAGGTGTGGATTCAAGATCACACATAAAAAGTACTTGTGGCAATGGATATCCCTGAGAGCAAGGAAATTAGAAGCACAAATGAGAAAAGTAAGCATCAGTCTCCTTGGGGGGTACACAGAAAAGCCTGACAGATACCACAGCTCCTTTTTTTTTTTGCTTCTGTAACAGTTAAAAAGCTGTACAACATGGATATGAAGTCAATACACAATCAGAGCTAAATACAGAGCTGAGCAAAATCTCCTGCAATATTGAAACAGCACAGCACCTTCTGCAGGGGCCAAGCAGAGGAAATGAACTTTAGCAACAGCTCTTTGCTCCCATGCCCAGTGGGGAGCACAAGTTTTGCCTCTCCAGGCTCAGAGCCAAACCCCTCCATTCTGCAGCAAGTCACAGCACCTCCGTAACTGCTGGCTGTCTGACTTGATGCTTCCAAGGGTGCTTAGTCCTGTGGCCCCAGGGTGCACTTGCTCCTCTAATTCGGAAAGTGAAAGTATTTGGGAAGTGACCAGAGTACACGCTGATCATTTTGCCACCTGCCATCCCCAGATGTAAAAATGCTTCCGTGACAGAGCGGTATTATTTGTCTTGCAAAATATACGCACTGAAAAATAATCTTTGCTGCAGCTGCTGGAAAGAAAAACGCAGCATAGATCATTCCAGATCTTTATTCATCTAGCAAGTTTTCCTCTCAATTCCTATCACAGTGGAAAACCTACAGCAAGCAAGCCAAACCAAAAGCTCCAGTCTGCTTAAACACCAGCAGGTACAAATGATTTCTACCATTTATTCTACTACTGTATACTTAGTGATTCCACAGCACAGAGCTTTAAGTTCTGAAACACAAATATCTTTGCTGCATAACAAGTCTGCTTACAGCTAAAGTCTCCTCTCCCATCCTGCTGTTCCTACCAAAATGAATTTCTGTGAGATCACCAGGTAGTTTTTTTAATTGGTCCAAGAGGAAATTCTATTGGAGACGAGGTCCTTGCCACTGATACCTACCACTCATAACACTTTCACATAGCTCCTTCTGACAGATACCAGATAATTTCCCCAGAACACATACTCAGCTCTGTCTCCCCTTCCTCCAAACTCCTACACCTGCAAATTAGCTAGCAATGATGCAGACAACAAGCTACATCCTTTAAAAAGCAAGAATATCAGCAGGGGAATTCTACAGATTCAAGACGGCAATAATTGTTCCAGAAAAGCTAGGACTCAAAGAGTCAGGACTTTTTCCTGCATTTGGGATCCCCCTTTCTTCAAGCACAGCACAAACAGCAAGCAGGGAAGATCAGTTCCAGCTGTGTACTTTATTGACAGGTGTCTTCCCCCTCACAGCTGTGTTCTACTCTGAAGCAGAAAAAGAAGTTAAAGCAATGGAAGCAGAAAACAAATAATTTGTTTTCTGACATTTCCAACACAGCCCAGCAAACCTGAGCAAATCTCCCATTGTGGCTCTGCAGAAAAAAGAAGGAGCAGAGGACACAGCCACACGGCTGCACTGCCAGACATACAACAATACATTTTGTGACAGTCTGCGGGCTGAGCTATCAGGAAATAGAACCAGCCCAACAGGTTACAGGATCTGTATCCTTAGGTGAGGTCTATGAAACAAAAGAGAATGAAATGGAAAACCAGGCAGGGGCATAACAGCAGAGAGAGATGAGGCTAAGTAAAACCAGCACAAAGCATTTCCATCCATTTCTATCCATGCTAGCCAACTAGCAACTACGTTGTGTGTAGTAGAGACAAGCCTCAGAGCTAACTCTGTCACTGAGGGATTACCAATTGTCCCTGCTGTGTCAGTGCGGAAGGGTCATACAAACACATCCACGCGTGGTTTCCTTTATAAACCTAGGCCAGCACAGCAAATCCCAGCCTTCCTTCAGGTGTCTCTGCTGCTGCCTTTTTTCTGTGCTTGGTCTGCACCTGCTTTTGGTTGCTTCCTCAATACTCGCTCCTTCTCCTGCAAGACCTCACCCTGCGCTGCTGCTGCCTCCTTCACTGGGAACCCCCTGCCCCTCCAGCTGCTGGGCACCTCCACTCTTCCATCACACCTGCTGGAAAACGCTGCTCTGGAAAGCCAGAAAAAGGCTTCACTTGGCACATCCGCGATGATCTCATGAGATAATAGCTGTTCATCCTGTGTTTTCCTGCTAAAGCAAGTGCTAATTTTCTTGAGTAACATACAGCAATACAAAATTAAAACCTGACATAGCAAGTTGTGCTAGTTTATACCTAGGAGGCTTGAATATTTTTATACCTGCAAACACAAATCTAGCTATATTATTTTCCAGTTCTCTTATCTTTCTTATTTCCAATTTTAATTCAATAACATTTTTGATTTTGTCCTCTGAAAAAAAACACATACAGATGAAATCTGAATGAACCTCATATAATAAGAGAAGTTATAGAAATGCAATGTGCAACACCACACAAGAAGGCACCGTACTGGAACTCTCATTCAAGTGTTTTTCCATGCTGTCAAATGCCATCAAGGACAGAAGATAAGCAACAGAAATCTCACCTTCAACAACAGCAGAAGGGCAATAGGAGGCCCCAGCTGTTTGCCAGCTGCAAGTCTACACGGATGCTTTTAAATGAACACCTGATTCTAGGTCTCGTTTCGTTTTCATCACTGTTCTTACATGAATTTTATCACATGGCCAGACAACCTTCGTACTGACTCAGCTGGCTTTGGTTTCCAAAGACACCAGGACAGAGAACGGCCAATCTAGCCTGATGACCACAAGTCTTCCAAGGCTGAAAAATACGACACTTGGTTCTAAGTTGAAGCCTGACGCTACCTGGAATATCATGATACCCCTAAAAGGGAACCTGGGATTTTGCAGTGATTTCTTTTTATGTTTTCCCTGTTCCCTGCAAGTGGTTCAGATGCCAACGAGGAATGCCCTTCCTCCAGCTGGGAGGATTACTTCTACATAGGAAATTACATCAGCCAGACAAATTGATGTTTTTTGTTTTTTTTTCTGTTGGGTAGAATAAACAAATGCTTCAACAAGACAGCTATGCCTTACGTTTAAAACATCTTACACTATGATGACACAGTTAGAGAGAGCCTAGAAAACCCAGACTCATGCAAAACATTCAAGAACCATACCCTGGCTTTACCCTGGGGCATTTCTCCTTGAAGGGGCGATGACCAATGCCACCAGACCATGCAGGAGCCAGCTATAGCCTGAGCAGCTCCCCCACCACAGGGGGCTCAGTGGCAGCGGGGTCCCTGCAGCACGTTAGAAGCCACACAGCCGATAATTAAAACCACAAACTCTGGTCCATACCTTCAGTTCTCATGAAACAAAGTTTATTATACTGGGGTCAGTGCCCTGTCAGCTTCTGGTCAGCTGCCCCTGAGACACTCCATCACACCGCACGCTTATTTTTTATGTTTTTTTTTACATTTTAAATGCGAGCTCAGAAGCACCCAAGCAGGAGCTCGCTTCCAGCAGCCTCCGAGGCGGATCTGCCGGCCCCTCACAGCGCTGCCAGCACGGGGGGGCACCCGGCAGGCCCCGCACCGAGCCCCAGGCACTTCTCCCACCCTTCCCTCCCCCTTTTTTTCCCCTCCCCACAGGACTCTCCCCTCACCCCCCCCCCACCCCATTGCAGGGCAGTACCTGCCAGCCCGCCGCCGCCCTCCTCGCCGTAGCCCCGCCGCCTCTGCAGCACGAAGTACTGGTTGGAGCGCTCCAGCACCCACAGCTTGAGGGCGTTTTTCAGCAGCACCTCCTCGGGCTTCAGCCACATCTCGGCGGCCCCTCACTGCACCCCCCGGCCGCCGCCGCCCATGCCCGCCGCCTCCCCGGCCTCCCGCTCCCACGTCCACAGCCCGGCTGCCAAGCGCCGCCGCCGCCCCCCGAGGCACGCTGGGAGTTGTAGTCCTCGCGGTAGTCCTCGCGGCAGCCCCGCCGCCCGGCGCCGGCGACTGAGGGACTACAACTCCCGTCGGGCCCTGCGCGGCTGCCCGCCTCCTCGGCTGCTGTGGCGGCAGCCTGACGGGCCGTTAGGGAGGTTAGAGGGAGGGCGGCGGCGACTCGCATGACGGGACAGGAGCTCGTCCCCCTGCGGTCTTCACGAAGGGATTTTTCTTTTTATTTCCCTCACACCACCCAAAGAAGTCCATTTGAAATGTTGGCCAAACCCTCATCGCCAAAGAACATGGCTTTTTATTTATTTATTTTTACCACTTGTGCTTGTTTTCCAGTCAGCACCGAGCCTTCCACCACAAGACACACACGGCCAGCCTGCCATGCAGCCCTGGCTGCTGCCCTCCACACGCCCTGTCACACCACCCACGGGTGTCACCTCCTAGCTGCTGTGTCACACCAGCAGCAGACATATGGCCAATGCTGCCTATTTACATACCACGTTATAAAAAAAAAGTCTGCCTCCTCCCTTCTATCACCCAACAAGATTAAGAGCTATTGTGGTGGTGACATTTTGGTTGCCTTAACAACAGTTTGACTCGGGCTTTGTATTTTTTGTGATTCGTCTGAAACAACTTTATCATTCATTCTCATGGAGTAGTTCTTCAGATCATCTACACACTGACTTTACCCATTGTTCTGAGCTAGAATAAATCAATCTAGCCTGGTAGTGAGTGAAACACCTCCCCAGGAAGCCCCGACCACAGCTACCCAAGTCCTCTCATTAGTTAGCTCTCTCTTCTGGTGTTTCTTCACCAGTCTCTTCACAACCTTGTCAGAAGAACCATGGCTCAGAAGGCCCTGTGGCATTACAACGTGATAACACTGCTTCCTAAATGGTATCTTCTGGTGCTGGCCATAAACAAACAAAGTTTAGGGGAGTAGAAGGCTGTTGTCTCTGTTCCAGATTGCTGATGCTGAGGAATTTTCGGAGGCTTCTGCTAAAGATATCTCAAAGTGTGAAAGATTCACTCCTGCTCTTTATTCCTGACAGATTCTATCACTCAGTACAATGTAGGTCGTTCCCATTTCCCAGAAACTTCTCTGCAGTTTGCTGCCCTGTCAGATCCTTCCTTTAGTGCTCTTTCTAGCATTATTGACCTTCCTAAGATTTTCCAAGAGTAGTGCTTTATTGATTGTGTATCATATGAAACATCCAGTATGCATTTGTTTAAACTCAGCCTCTACTTTGAACTCTTCTAAAAAAAGAATTATGCACATCATGCACTAACAACAGATTTCAGACTTGGCACTTCTTTGCTTTATCCTGTTTCCTTCAGCCTCTTCAGCAGTCCCAAATGTACTCTGTGTCCCATAGAGCTTCTGCTAGCCACCAGTCTATCTGTGAGCACAGGCACAGTGAGATATTGCCAAGTACTCACAGAAAGATGTTTGGCAATGCCTGGCCACTTCCAAACGCATAAGGAACTACTGACCCAGTAGCACCAGGGTGAAAGCAGCACCAAGCATGCAGTCACATTTACTTCACTAGAAGTTTTCAAAACTGGATGAACTGCACTGGTATAAGACATTTCTTCTCACAATCACTCATTACACCATTGCAAGCCAACTCCAGTATTAAGCAGATTTACCTTTGGGACTGAATATAGATTGAACTAATACTTCTATATTATTTTACCTGTTTTTATAATAGAGTAGGAAACAACAAATTTCTGCTGCTCTACATTTACTACACTGGAAAAATTAACTAAAAGTCATCAGCCAACATGTGGTAACTGATGCAGATAAAACATAAATGAAACGGGGCAAACAATTAAGATATACCAGCATATTGTTCTCCATGAGGCAGTCTCCTAAATCCCCCCATCTGAAGTAACAGACATGAGTGGGTTCCTGTGGGTGAGCTGTTGCTGTGGCAGCTCCCAGAGATATACCAAAACTGACAGCGATTCCTACACAGATGCTGCTTTTCTAAGAGTATTCCCTGAGGGAGTATTTACCATTTAATTTTCCCCAATTAGCCAAGCCCTTGGATAGGAAATACTTATTTAGGATCTGACACAGGTCTTCTAATGCTGATGCTAATTTTAAGGAGAGAAGCCCTTGGCATTTCCTACCTAGAACTTGGCTGTTGGCATCTTGCACAGGCTAGACGTGTTAGGACATATGCTGCTTTCTTATGTAAAATTTAAACTTCTTATTCAGATTAAAAATTTAACAATAAAGCTGCTGCTTGGAAAATGCTTTGTTTTCCTCTCCATTGGTTCAAGGTCTTGAATGTCTTCCTTTTTTCCAATTCCCTCAGGCACTGGATTCTTAACCAAATACTATTAAGATGCAAAGAGCGATGAATTTATTTATAGACAGTTAAATTCTGTCTTAATCAGAGCACAATCATCCTACAGTCTAATCAATGCATTCCACAGCAAGAGAGATCCATTTAGTGCTGCGGATTTTTTCTTTCACTGCATTAAAGACCTCCTGAAAATGGCAAATGATTTCCCTTCAGTAACTGCAGCCAGGAGTATATAAATAGATAAATAGCTACATAAATAGATTTTGGCTTCACTTTATAACCACCAGTTTAACAAACAATGTAGAGAACTACATAGCTGTTAATTCACTGTGGGTGAACTTCACAGTTTGGTTTCAAGTTTCCCTTAGAGCCAAAATGAAATTGCCAAAACCAAAAAATTTCCTTTCATCTACTCCAAAATGCCGACCATTACAACTCTGAGGAAGTTCAACGCTATTCAGATCTATGCAGGAAAGACATTGATCTAAACCTGGGTGAAAAGGCAGGGCTAGCTTCTGACCTGGTATACATTACACACTGAATAAAATTTAATTAAATCAAACAGCCAAGGTAGATGCATGTAATTTTTCTGTCCAACTGTTAGGTCACTTGACAAGCACAGATCTTTCCAACTAAAGAGTGAGATGGACTAAATCTCTCCATTTCACGGGAAATCCAACTGCTCTCTTGACTCACACTCAATTCATATGCCTGTAGTCCCTCAATACACAAGGCCTTCTTTTCCCTTAAGCAAAAACTCAGTTATGACTACATTTCTAGTGACATCTGACTTTTTTCCTTGATATGAGAAAAATCCTTAAAATTTTGCATTTACAATAAAATCCCACTGTTGTGAAGTCTGTTTTACAAGAAAGCATGGTAATACAGCATCTGGTGACAAGACTTTCCCTCCTATAGGGATAAAAAATATTGCCCCATCTCACTTTAAGAACCTGAGGCATGTATGTGTCTAGATCAGAGCTTTCCTGGGGGAGAAAGATAAGTGACAGCAGTGAGTAAACATGCTAGATGACGTTTGAACCTGTTCTGCTTTCTCTTTAGGGACAGAACAATTGAGATGTCTGTGACTCAATGGAAACAGAGTCAGAAGAGGCATTCATTTTAACAACTGTTACCCCTTGTGGGCACATCATTTTTAGCATCTTACATGCAAACATTAGTACGTGTAGCAAAACATCAGAACTACTGCAAAATAACAACAAGCTTACAATGCTTTTCAGGAACAACCCTATCCTCAGGCACACTCTTTGCATCTTGCTTAAAGGAGTCTATTATGTCACAACACACACATATATGTATATGTACACAGAACCAACCAAGCCCATAGCCTCACAAAAAAAAATAATAATGTGTTGCACAGTGCTCTAAGCAAAGCCAGCCAAAGACAGGTCCTATCTACAGAAACCTGAAAATGAAGTGCAACTTCAGAATTTCTTTAAAGCAGCAATAACTGTAGTAACGTTCTCCAGGGGAAAACCTCTTCAGAATTTAGTGAATAAGAAAAAATTTTTTCAAAATGAGACAGCAACAGACCTGAGCTCACTGTAATAGTGTGTGAAATTTGCACACTCTCATTTTAAAACAAACTCCTCTGTGGCAAATATTTACAAACAGAATCCGCATGTGGCAGGCTCTCAGGTTAAGATGCAAAACCAGAAAAGCATTTAATTCTTTGGCCTAGCAGCTCAAATACTGTCCAGATACAAACACTGCTCTTACTCCCTTGAGAGTACTTCACATTTGATCCAAGAATCTTCAAAATTTTTCAAAATAGTAGTGTAGATACCTTGAGCTCTGAGTAAATTCACATCTTTACAGAATATGTCTACAGCATCTGATCCTATCTTAGCATGAGTTGAGTCCACTGGTGTTCTGCTGCTGCATCCCTCCATACTCCACAAGTACACTCCTTGAGAAAATGCAGTGGATCCACCTTACCCTTGGATTTACCCTTAGAAACACCAGGACTAGAAGAAATACAGGTTTATTGCTGAAGAGACAGTAAGTAGAAAAGCTGGAATTCTACCAGCAAAGCAACTCAGATGCATCAGATCAATAGGATCAGAACAAAAAAAAAATGCCAGAGCACCTCTCAATACATTGAGTTGGTCTGAATTCCTTTCCCCACCTTTTTGCTAATGATGGTTTGTTTGAAGGTTGAATCTTGTTCCCATTAAACCCAAGACTGGCAGATGATTTCATAACATAATATTATCATGAGACTATTATAGCTTACACACCATACATTTACAAAAGCTTTTTGAAATGAAAATGAAATTAAGCATTCAGGAGGCGTATTCACAGCTTGCCAGCTCCCTTCTCTGTCCTACATTTCAGAGGTAGAATAGGAAGATGATCACAGCTATCAGCAAGATACAGTTCCAGCATGAAGTCAGATTATACTTAGGTTTACTGTTTGAGTCCATTAACAGTCAATGCTTCCGCTTGATGTGGAAGTTTGCAAAACAGAGCGGTGGTCAATTTGGTTGGGTGACATTTCTGTACTTCTGTGTAGTCACACCATTACCTTAACCCTGAACTGAGAAGTACTATGCTGTACCTACAACTAAACTAGACATGGAAATTGTTCTGTACTGGGAAGCCAAATGTAGTATCTGTCAAAGGGCACTCAATTATTTCTAAAATG